ATTTAACTTATAGGAACACTATAGTCACCAAACTAACTTTAGCTTAATGAAGCAGTTTTTGGTGTATAGGTCATGCCCCTGCAGTCTCACTGCTCAATTCTCTGCCATTTAGGAGTTAAATCACTTTGTTTATGCATCCTTCCTTGCATGTGACTTACACAACCTACCTAAACACTTCCTGTAAAGAGTTATCTAATGTTTAAAGAATCACTATAGGGTCAGGAACACAAACATGTATTCCTGACCCTCTGGGGTTAAAACCACCATCTAGCCCCCTGGGCCCCTCATGCCTCCATAAATATAGCAAAATCTTACTGTATTCAAGCCAGAAGCTGTAGACCTGCATGCAGTTTGCCTCAGAAAAAAAAATCAGTCTGCTGACATCATCAGAAATGGTGGCCTGATCCAATCACAATGCTTCCCCATAAGATTGTCTGAGACTGACAAGGAGGCAGATCAGGGGCGGAGCCAGCATGATTCAAACACAGCCCTGGCCAATCAGCATCTCCTCAGAGAGATGAATTGAATCAATGAATCTCTATGAGGAAAGTTCAGCGTCTGCATGCAGAGGGAGGAGACACTGAATGTTTGGATGCATTTTAGGCAGCCATGACCCAGGAAGGATCTCTAACAGCTATCTGAGGAGTGGCCAGTGAAGTTATCACTAGGCTGTAATCTAAACAATGCATTTTCTCTGAAAAGACAGTGTTTACAGCAAAAAGCCTGAAGGGAATGATTCTACTCACCAGAACAAATTCAATAAGCTGTAGTTGTTCTGGTGACTAAAGTGTCCCTTTAAACTTCCTTTATTACAAATTATTTCTCAAGAATAGAGATCTGTGCATGCATCCTCAGTACCACACTGGTATCACATTCATTTTTTAGATGTTCTCACAAATGCTCTGTACATGAGAATTCATAGAAAACTGATGTATTTTACTACTAACAGTTTTTCTAAGCAAGGTCTCCTATTTCTTCTAATTTTTCCTTCAAGTGTGTATACTTTTTTCTAATCCTATATAAATATTTTAGGAACAATACATACACTGATCAGTCACAACATTATAACGACCTGCCTAATATCATGTAGACCTCCCTGCTGCTGCCAAAACAGCCCTGATGCGTTGAGGCATGGACTCTACAAGACTTCTGAACATGTCATGTGGTATCTGGCATGTCCTGCAAGCTGCGAAGTGGGCTCTCCATGGATCCGGTTTCTTGTTCCAGCAAATCCCACACATGTTTAATTGGATTGAGATATGTGGATTTTTTGCAGCGTGTCAGGGTACATTATCTTGCTGAATGAGGTCACTGCCATCAGGTAACACCATTCCCATGAATTGGTTTATGTGATCTCACAAGCCTATGCTTTCAAAGTGCAACCCATGAACTAATAAATAGATAGATTACTGATTATTTCCTTTAAGATTTAAGAACGTTGGTGCATGATCTGACCATGTGATGTTTTTATTTTTCGTGGATCAAATAATAGATTATTTCATACTAAAATCACGGCGTGGTGGCTTGTCTAAATATTAGTATATAGCTGCAGCATCATCCCTTGTCTAACTGCCGCCACTGCTCTAAACTGTCCCGACGCGCGTTTCGCCAGATAGTGATTCTTCCAGGCAGTTAAACAAGGGATGATGGCAGCTATATTCTAATCTTTAGACAAGCCACCACGCTGTGATTATGGTATGAAATAATCTATCTACTCTGCTAGCTAGCAACGGTTAGCAATCGGTGTGAGGGGAAGGAGTCTTGCTCTCTATTTCTTTTTTCACAGGCTTTGGGTATTGGAGGCTATGGGAGTTTAGACTTTTTTAAGGGGTGCCCGCGAAGGCATTTTAGGTGATAGTAATATTTGTTGTATATTGGTTTCTCCTATCTTTAGAGTTTTCTGCCCTCCCTTTTCCCTGCTATTATTTATGCTCTGATTTTTCAAGCAAGTACTTCTTCCCTCTCCTCACTTTCAGCAAAAATAGCTGTGACACTTTTTACATGCCTGTTTTAATATTTAATTTATTAGAGGTTGTGTTTTAATTATTCGTTCATGGGTTGCACTTGTACTTTAAAAGCATAGGCTTTTTGAGGTATGAGTCATTGTCTACCTCCAATCCTTCCTTTCCCTCCGTTCTTACATATTTCATTTAGGGGTTACCCCACACACATAACCAGCAACCTGACACACTCTCTCTGTTTACAAAAAGTAAAAATTGGTGTATGTGATATGCAGCAATTTCTAGGTAGGTGGTGTGTATCAAAGTAATATCAACATGAATGCCAGGACCCATGTTTCCCAGCAGAACATTACCCAGAACATAACATTGCCTCTGCCAGCCTACATTCTTCCCATAGTGAATCCTGCTGCCATCACTTCCCAATTAAATGACGCACATGCACCCTACATCCTCCTGATGTAAAATAAATGTGATTCATCGACATCAGACCAGGCAATCTTCTTCCACTGTTCCTCAATCCAGTACTGATGCTCACGTCCTCATTGAAGGTGGTTTCGGTGGTGGACAGGGGTTATCATGGGCACTCTGACTGGTCTGCGGCTACACAGCTCCATATGCAGCAAACTGTGATGCACTGTGTGTTCTGACACCTTTCTATCATGGTCAGCTTTAAAGGGACACTACAGTCACCAGAACAACTGCAGCTTAATGTAGTTGTTCGGGTAAGTATAATTATAATTACGTCGGCTGGTGGGTGAGACTGATCCCGCCCACTGGCCGGGGAGACTTAATGCACATGCGCGGCAATGCTGCGCATTCGCATTAGCGCTCCCCATAGGAAAGCATTGAAAATGCATTTCAGTGCTTTCCTATGGGGAAATGAGCGACGCTGGAGGTCCTCACTCAGCGTGAGGATGTCCAGCGAGGCCCTAGCACAGGTTTCCTAGAGGTGGAGTTAACCCTGCAAGGTAAATATTGCAGTTTATAAAAAACTGCAATAATTACACTTGCAGGGTTAAGAGTAGATGGGAGTTGGCACCCAGACCACTCCAATGGGCAGAAGTGGTCTGGGTGCCTGGAGTGTCCCTTTAACTGTTCATCTAGTAAGATAAACTTACACTAAAAGTGGTTTACTTTAAAGACCTAAGAAGGGATAAGTTAAAGTCATTATCATTAAAAGGGACACTCCAGAACCCTATAGCACTTTAGCTTGCTGAAATGCTTTATGTATAAAGAGTGAGTCCTCTTTTTCTCATTTTACAAAATTGCAGATTTCAATAGAAATTTTACTTCCTGGATGTTCAGCTCAGTGGAGATAAACTCAAGAGGCAACAATTGCTCAGAGAAAAAGACTTCTCAATGCGTTGCATTGGCAAGCCTGTGACTAGACAGTCAGAGAAAGTCTGGGCTGACCTAGAAGGGGAAGGTTTGCAAGGCTTCAGACAAAAGATCTGCAGCTTTTACAAGATGTTTATGCCCCATGAAAAAATGGAATCACTACTTTAACTATCATCTCTAGTTTGTGTGTTACAGATTTAGTTTTTTTTTAACTACAAATAACATTGCATAGCATGATATCCAGACACCTATTCTCCCTATATATCTATAGACTTAGTTAATATAAATTGTGCACAATAATCTTATTCTAATTCTTATTCTTGGATTTCTGCAACATCAAGCATTACTCTTATATCCAAGGCATTCCCAATGTATACTGTTAAACAACATAAATTCCAGTTACAAATATATAAATCAGAATAAATCAGCATAAATTATTACCTTCATATCAACTAATTTGCTCATCTTATACATCTAAAAATAACTAACACACTCTTTATATCATTAACCCAATAATGATGGAGGTAATTGTTCTGAGCTAAAACAAAACTTAGAATGTGCACTATATATTTGTTCCACAGTAATATGAGTTTCTCTTTAAGTGCTCACACATATACATTGTGTATTTGTTTTTAAAACAGCAGAAAGGGTTTATTTTAATATATGTATAGCTAAGACAACATGAAGTGTGAATGTTAAAAAGTGGGAGAAAATGGGGGAAAAATTTTTTTTTGTTTATAATTATCTTTACAAATTCAGTGCAACTAAATAAAAAAAAACTCAAAAAAGATTGTTTTATCATTCCTGATTATTAAATGTTTCATAAGTATAGGACCTCAATTAATTTTTGGTAGTTAGTTTTTGGAATACACGCTAAGTGTATAGCTCTTAACTTGTGCTTTCACTAACACTAACCGTATACCTATTCTAACCTTACCCTTAGTCATATACTAATCCTAACCATACTCCCCTGGCTGTGGCTCACACAGCCTGCATAAAAAATGGTTTAATTTTTAATCAGATGTTAACTTACTTTAAAAGTTTATATCTCCGGGGGCGGGACTTCCGGCCTCATGGAGCAGTCGCATGGTGCAATAGCTCTGAGCCTGAACCGGCCTAATAGCGATCAAATCTAGCGGATACCTGACCAAATATACCTCACAAGCGTGTCCTGACACAGGGGACCTTCCTGCATACTCATGGCTCCCCCAAAAGCCCAGCGTACCTCAGATTTCTTCTGACAGGAAAGACGAGACAAGCCGAGGTCTGACCAAGATGGCGGTGGTTCCCACTCACAGCTGCAGAAATCAGAAGCAAGTTCCGACACGGAGACCCTGCAGACTGCTCCGGAGAATATCTCCCTATCAGAGAAGAAACTGGCAGTCATGCTGCATGAGCTGCGCATTTCCTTGAAAGCAGACCTCAAGTTAGCCGTGGAAGACATCTGCAGAGAGGTACAGGAGATTGGCATGCGGGTGGGAGCATTGGTGAGAGAGCAGCTGAGCTGCTACCAGACTACCTCCAGAACCTCTTCCACGCAATACAGCCCAAGCTGAAAAAGGCTGACCTACGCCTGGATTGGGCACACCGGGTGCCCAAACCTAAAAACTTGGCACAAGAAGTTCCCAGAGATATCGTCACCAGGTTCTAGTATTACAGCTCCAGGGAAGCCATACTGATGGCACAGAGGAAGACAATGGCATGCCACCCGACTATGCTGGGGTATCCTTTTATGCTGACCTGTCGGCCAAGACGATGTCCAGAAGGAGGGACTTCATCAACATCACCAAGTGCCTCCGAAATAACAAGGTACCTTACCGCTGGGTCTTCCCCAAGAAAATCCTGGCACAACAGATCTCTGACGAAAATGGATGACCCAGAACAGGGCATGGATTTGCTACGATCTTGGGGTCTCTTCCCATATTCCCAGAAAGAACAGCGACTACTACCCCTACCACCCATAAGAGAATGTCCCCGGAGAGGACAAGAGTCCAGAAGCTGCAATAATCCGGCTGTCCATCTACATCTCTATTGCAAGGACTGCTTCACATTAGTGGTGTGGCCTGTCTAACTGAATACTAGACATTTATCCAACCCAATCAAGGACTAATGCTGACCAAACCCTACATAGCTGGCTAGCGAAGGTATTTTGGCATCCCCCACGTGATAAAACCACACTGCTACACCAACCCAACACCCCCTAGAGTTATAGCACAATAGAAAAAAAATTATTTATAAAAAAAAATACATATCAAACTAGACAAAGCCTAGCCGAGATGGACCCTCTCTCTCAGGGGACCTCTCCCCAAATTTCCGTACCCCGCTTCCCACGTCTCCAACCCTACCTGGGCTGGGACAACTCAGAATACCCCAGACAAACCCATGCTGGGCACATGCCTGTTTTTCTCTGGAGCTGCCCTGCCCAGTGGTGGCGGACGCCTCACCCAGCATGTGAAAGGGGGCCTGGTAGATTTAAACCCCCGCTGAAACCTCAGTAGATGTCCGGTCCAACTGTTCATACAGGCCTTCACCATGACCACCACTTCTCCCCCCACTGAGACAATTGCCACCGGTGATGCCCCCCCATGCAGTGAGGGGTATGCACTCGATGGCTGGTTTCCACACGATGCTCTTAAGCTGTTTATATTGTATATACCTTTGTCCTGTATCTCCATTTTATTGTTATGTTTTTTGTTATGTTACCTACCCTGAGACAGGTCTGAGACACTCTCTGCCACGCAATGTGGGCATCAGGGAATTACCCTCTGCAGTTGCCATGGACAGGGAGTCGGGTAGGGTGTTGGCGTCTGGGTTCACTCCATGGTCTCCCCCGACCTTAACAGATGACTCTTTCCCAAAAATTTAATGTCTTATCTCACAGCCTCAACACCCCTCAAAAACGCAGGCTCGCCTTATGCCAAATGCATGCATCACACGCGTCTGTTGCATGTATCCAAGATACACATTTTGACCTTGGCTTGATTTTTGACTATTCTGATATCTCTATTCCTTGACTTTTGACTTGTCCATGGCTTACGTACATTATGTTTCCCTGACCTCAACCTGTCCTGTACAATTCTATATTTACGTTAATCCGGATCTATTTGTCACCTAAATTCTGCGTGTTGGGTGTTAGACTATCCTGACAGTTGCCCAGAATGCAATGCATTGGGTATACTATTTTCAGAGGTATTGTGCCTAACATACATAAAATAGCCAGTAGATGGTGGCAATAAACAACTGTTTTTAATTTATAATTCCACTTGCTAATATCAATTCTGATTTTAACAGAGGGAAACACCTGAGATTAGGATTAAGATTAGGTTTTGAATTAATTTTAGGATTAGATTTATGTTAGGGTTCAAATTAGGATTATGACCAGCAAGGGAATTCCTCTGCTGAAATCAGCAGAGGAAATCTTTTTAACATTATTGCTAGGATTGAGATTAAGATTAGGATTAAGGTTAGGATTAGGTTGAGGCATAGCATTCGGGTATGGGTTAGTTTTGGTGTGTGATTAGAATTGGGGTTAGGATTTGGTTTAGAACTATCATGTAGTTTAGGATTAAGACTGTTATTTTGCAAAGATATACATATGGGGTATTGTTGCTGAGTACAGATTTTTGTTACAGTAGTACAGATTAGATTTAAAAAAATAAGCAACAAATATACAATGTGTGTGTAAAAATTAAAAGCTAAAATAGATTTAAAACTTTGAAAAAAATGGTAAAAAACAGCACTCCAATAAAGATTAAAGGAACACTATAGGGTCAGGAACACAAACATAGTGTCAAAACCATAATTTAAGTGGCTTGCCCCTTAAAAGGTCCACCTCCTTGGCTGACATCATCAGAATAGATGATTTTAGCCAATAGGGAAAGCGTTATATTGGCTGAGATCCACAAGGAGGCAAGATGGAGGCAGGTCCAAATGCCGGTTTGGCCAAGCAACACCTCATTGAAACAATGTATCTCTATGAGAAAAGTTTAGCACATTGTGCATCACTGCCCCAGGAAGCACTTCCAGTATCCATCTGAGGAGTGGCCAGTAGAGGTGTCCCTAGAGGGCAATGTAAACACAGCCTTTTCTATAAAAAGGCAGAATTTACATGAAGATATCTACTGGGAATGATTACATTCACCAGAACAAATACATTAAGCTGTAGTTGTTCCAGTGACTATAGTGTCCCTTTAAAATATAAGCGTTTGTATAGAGATTTGCATATGCTATGTATTTATGGAGTAATTTAAATACGTGAGCTGCTAAAATGCCGCACAGACCCATCTTCAATTTGCCATTTAAAAAAAATAAATAAACCTGCACTGGGCGAGTTATAAATCTGGCTCTGTATTTTCACAAAACGCGATAGGGATATCCAAAGTATATACATACTGTACTCAAAAGATATAACTGAGCACAAAATTGTAAAAATAGTCAGGTCTCTATTGTAACTTCACAGAATACTGCCATAGACATACATTACATACATGCTTTATTCAGAAGAGTTTGCTGAGCATAATGTGGTGTTTTGTCACAGTTTCACATATCAGATATACAAAATACCCAGCAAAATGCAATGTGTATGTGAAAAATACAAAATAAATACATAGTTTATACCACAAACTTTATTTATTAAACGCTGGAAGGTTTCTAACACCCTTTATGTCCACATTCCAGACACAATCCATTTGTTCACTAAACAGAATAATCCCACATATAATAACACTATATCACCTAGCCTTCAATTAACTTTATTAACAAAACACCACGAACACAAACACTCCTACAGCCAAACCACTGGGCGACGTCACGCACAGAAATGACCCAGCCTCATCACGCTGGCGTTACCTCCTCCAGCTCTGACGTCACCGCATCACGTGACTGTAACGGGCGGATTTTTCAAATCATAACGCGCAGGACCCGCGGGAATGGAACCCGGACCCGCGGGCCGCAGCCACCGCGACACCCCCTGCGGCCAGCACCCCGCCACGAGCCAGGGCCGTGTCACCCCGCGAGGATGAGCGGAACGCGGCGCGCGAGGAAAAAAAAGAAGCACCATGGCGAGCAGCATAGGGGCCCGGATAGAGGTACGGACGGACTGACTGACGGACATTGCACAAAACACTGCCCCCCCCGCCCCCCCCTTTATAGTATCGGAGCACGGAGAGACTGGTGTTTACACAAGCATTGCAACCAGAGAGTGCGAACTGCATTTCCTTTGAGGCTCAGTCAGGTTCTAACTTGCTGAGCATCATGGGAAATGTAGTCCACAGAACACTAGGACTAACTATCACGGTGATAGCGGAAACTCCCGAAGGACTACAACTCCCATGATGCTGCCAAGGTTTGAAGCTTCCAGAGCACCATGGGACTTGTAGTTCTATAGGTGCAGTCTACCTGCAGAGTGTCAGAGACAGGCAGCCAGTGTTTCTGTAGGCGGGGCTGGGCAGGTGGGCTGGGATGCTGGCTGCCATGGTGAGCTGGTTGCCGTGATGCTGATGATGCTGATGTTGTTATGGTGATGATGCTGTCAGTTGGAGCAGCGGGAATGTTACCGGGCTGTGACAGTCCATATCCCCCGCAGTGTGTCAGTGTGTCGGTGTGTGTCAGTGTGTGCGGCACCCTGTCCCTCATACACTATAGCCGGCGGCATCCCCTCACTGCTGCCCGCACCATGCTGGAGAGGGTCCTCACCTTCCTGTTCCCCAACCTGGCTCCCAAGGGCAGCAGCCCCGGTGGAGGAGAGGAGCGAGAGACCGACAGGCTGTGTCTGCCCCCGATGCAGAGGGAGAGCTGTATAGAGGTATACACTGTGTGCGATGGATGGATGGATGGATGGGAGTAGGGATTAGCATTGGAAATGCATTTCCCTGTCTGACTGAGAATGGGACATTGTACGGTTTGGAGCATATCCGCTAAGAAGGATGACTAAACTAGATAAGTGTACTTTAATGACAGTCAGTGGAAGAATTAACTTTTAAAGCAGGTGTTTGTACATTGTAGCTACTTTTTCTGAAATGGAACATTATTGACATACATAGTTTTAAATCTGCTTGACAGCAGAATCTTGTTTTGCAAAAAAAATTTATATATATATGTTTTGCATCTTTTCCTAAATTGTGTTCCAAGCAGTTGTATACTGCAAACACAGATTAAAAGGAATCCATGTTTAAAATGGAATGAGGCAAAAATGTGATTCTTTGTTAAACTAATTTTCATATGCCCACCCAGAATCCTTTGTGGTTGTAACATCACTGCAGATTTGGGATTTCTGTGGGAAAAGCAAGTCTTATGGCTTGGCTGATGTGCAGATTTTTGGATATATATAATATCCAAGAAGAGAGCACTCTGGAGTCTTTTATAATTTGAAAAGTAAATGCTGCTTTATTGTGCAGAATACAAAAATTTTCGACGTTTCAGTCAATGCTGACTTTTCAAGATCAGCATTGACTGAAACGTCGAAATTTTTTGTATTCTGCACAATAAAGCAGCATTTACTTTTCAAATTATAAGACTCCAGAGTGCTCTCTTCTTGGATATTACATACTGGTTGGAGATTGTTTGCACCGGAGCACGAAAAGACCGGGAACCTTAAGTGCTGGGATATATTTTTTTTTTTTTTTTTTCTTCTTCTTTGGAAGAGCTCATTAACCTCTATATATTTTTAAAGAAGTGGACATATTTATTTATTTTTTCCATCTCTTTTTTTACAGGACTTCAAAGTCCTCAACCTCCTCGGAAAAGGCTCGTTTGCCTGTGTTTACAAGGCACAGTCCATAAACACTGGCATCGAGGTTGCTATAAAAATGGTAAGCATACACATTTTCTCGTTTTAATTTTTTTCTTAACGCTTAGACACTTAGAAGGTATATTAACTGTAATAAGAAGTGTAAATATTTTGCTTGGTTTTTTTTTTCTTCTCAACATTTAGAATTTAAGGGGGGTGTGTTTTATTTATTAATAAATAAAAGTGGAATGTTTTAGATAAGTTAAATATTCAAATACTTTTAAGAAATGAAAAGGCAGCAATTCCCTTTGCCAAATTGTTATTGGAAATACTTGTACACTTTACTGTCTGGGAGCTGTTTTTCTTCAACATAATATTTAAATGTTTTTAGCATGTTTAAAATTAAGAAAAATCTGTGTGGTTTTTCAGTTTATTTGCCCATATGCTTTAGAATTGTTTTCTGTTGCTATGGGAACAGCAATTGAGTCTTTTGCTGAATCCTTCTTGCAACATGGTTAGGAGCAAGAACTAGTCATTTAGAACAAATTATCAATATAGCAGAATTTGCCTTTTAAAACATTTTAATAAGGACATATTTGCATAAATCTACTTTAAATGCTTTATATAAGAAGTATTTTTGCTTTTAACAGATTTAAAAAAAAAAAATCCTTAGTATAATGCGGTCTTGCAATAGTACCGCTGATGCAAAACAGTTGTGGGGTTTGCTCAGTCTTTAAGAACCTTTTTCCCCATATCATAGTATTTTGACAACTGTTTAGCAAAAGTAACTAATTTTATGTGGAAAACACTCAACTTTATTACGAGCTCTTAGAGGTGTGTGTGTGTAGATAGACACACTCACTCTCTCTCTCTAAATGAAAGAGGACGCCAAATGATTTTTTTTTCTTAAGTGTATTATTGTAATCAATGCTGCAAACCTCCTGGGTCTTTAGCAAGATTTGTGTGTGTGTATATATAATATATACTCATCACACCTTTTTAACCCATAAAAGGGACACCAAGCACCATATTCACTACATCCTATAAACCTTTTATTGTATTTATTAAAAGCTGAAATAAGTTTAAACATGCTTAAACTATGCTTGCTATTTAAAATGGCTACATTGTTTGTATCATTATTTTAGATAGACAAAAAGGCGATGCAGAAAGTTGGCATGGTACAACGTGTCCGAAACGAGGTGGAGATACATTGCCAGTTAAAACATCCCTCTATTTTGGAGGTAAGGTTTTTCTGTTTTTCTTCCCCTGTTTTTGTTATTCCCTGAATAAATTGCTTTTGATTTGAGCATAGTTTTATAATGATGATTTTTCTTTTTTAGCTTTACAACTATTTTGAGGACAACAATTATGTTTATCTAATTCTTGAAATGTGCCATAATGGTGAGGTGAACCGTTGTCTGAAAAACAGAAAAAAACCATTCTCCGAAAAAGAAGGTCAGTCCTTTTATTATTTTTGTTGCCTTGTTAGTGCATTTTAGGCAATATAATTTAGCTTGTTTCAGTATTCTATTATTAGTGCCATGAAATACCATAATTCTGTAGGAATTGGCCTAAGATTTCTAGCCTTACAAATAGATAATGGCATTTAATCATGTTGGCACACTAAGTGTACCTCTTCTAGACTTCCTCTCCCTATATTTAATTAAAACAATAACACAGTTGGCATACATAATACTGCAACACTAGAAACATGGAAACAAGGGCTTTGTTACTTAACGGACCACTATAGTGCCAGGAAAACACTAGTTTTCCTGGCTCTTTAGGGTCATTGGGCCCCTCTCCCGCCAGGCTCTAGGGTGAGGAAGGGGTTAATCCCTTACCTTATTTCCAGCGCCGGGCTCCCTCGGCCATGGGGACTCTTCTCCTCCTTTCCCCGTCATCGGCTGAATGCGCATGCGCGACAAGAGCCGCGTGCGCATTCAGCCAGTCCACAGGAAAGCATTCTCAATGCTTTCCTTTGGATGCTGGCGTCGTTTCACTGTGAAAATCACAGTGAGAAGCGCCTCTAGCGGCTGTCATTGAGACAGCCACTAGAGGCTGGATTAACCCTCTCTCTGAAACTGCTATGTTTACAACAGAAAGGGTTAATCCTAAATGGACCTGGCACCCAGACCACTTCATTAAGCTAAAGTGGTCTGGGTGCCTATTGTGGTCCTTTTAACATACACTCTGAAAATTCCCTTTGTTAAGAATAAATGTTCACTTTGTCTTGTTTTGTTTTTGTCATAGCTCGACACTTTATGGAACAGATTGTGAAGGGAATGCTTTACCTTCATTCTCATGGCATTCTCCATCGTGATCTCACCCTCTCTAATCTCCTGCTCTCCAGTGATATGAACATTAAAATAGCTGATTTTGGCTTAGCAGCTCAGTTAAAAATGCCAACTGAGAAACACTTTACAATGTGTGGTACTCCCAACTACATTGCTCCTGAAATCGCTACTAGGAGTGCTCATGGCCTTGAATCTGATGTCTGGTCTTTGGGCTGCATGTTGTACACGTTTCTGGTGGGTCGACCTCCATTTGACACAGACACTGTGAAGAATACACTGAATAAGGTTGTTTTAGCTGATTATGAGATGCCCAACTTTCTTTCAAGAGAATCCAAAGATCTTATTTTTCAGTTACTGAGAAAAAATCCAGCAGACAGGCTTAGTCTTTCGTCTGTGTTGGATCATCCGTTCATGACTGTTTTTTCTTCTGCCAGAAGTGATGATATGGGGACTGTTGAAGACTCCATTGACAGTGGGCATGCCACAATCTCAACAGGCTTTAATGGGTCTTCTGGAATTAGTGTTGATAGCCGCTTACAGGAGAAACGACTTTTATGTGCTCCTTCTCTCCCTAACAAAATGAACATTTTACAGTTTAAAGATAAACAATCTCCTGAATTAATATCAGGAGGTGGTGGCAGCTTCATTAAGAATCAGGGAGAGCATAATGACTTTTTTGAGGGTCGTGGTAGAAAAGCTGTGATTGAAGATCGACCACATTCACGATATCTTAGGCGTGCTCACTCTTCTGACAGATCTGGGAATACACGCAGCCAGACGCAGAGTAAACTAAGCAGTTATGCAGAGAGGTGTCACTCTGTTGAAGCACTTGTGAAGTCTAATGGACAGACAGTAGGCTATCGCAATTCCTCCTCTTCTCCTGCAAACAGTTATGGAGATATCCCTCAGATGTTCACAGACCAAGCTGTTGTGAGTTCAGCATCTTTGGACAGATATACCTCTCCTCCAGTAAGAGAAAAGACGCCGTAAGTAGACTGTCATATGTAATTAAGATGCAGTAATTCTTCAGGTTTTTTTAATTTATTTAAAATTTAGGTGAATAAAAATATTACATTTGATATGTATTTCTCAAATTTCACAGTAAATCAATGTTAAAAAGGTATTAGAGTAACTGTTAATTTTTTTAAATTTTTATGTGCGAATACTTGTTGTTGTATACAGGGTTATTCACTAAAGTGAGAATTCAAAATTAATTTCAAATTTAAAGTCAAAGTAGCCGATCTGGAAGCATAGCTGAATTAGAGCTTTTTTTAATTTCATCTATTCTCGCATTAAACTTGAAATTCACTTTGAATTCTCATTTTAGTGAATAACCCTGTTAGTATGGATTAAATATTAAGATTCAGAATAAACACCCTTTTGGATAATCTTCTGACGACCTGATCATTTAGTAAGAAGAGTGTTGAGGCTAAATGTTTTCAAACTAATTAGTTGGCAGGAAATTGCTCCTGTGGGAATATTCATTATGCTAGTATCTAATACAGATGGCAGAAAAAGCTCCTGAGATTCCTAATGCTGTACCTGTGTGATTGGTGCATCATGTTACTCTTCAATATGATAGAGTATGAAATAGGCAAAGCTTTCTAAGGGGAGGCCATATTCAGTCATTTATCACGTTCTTCTCTACGGTTTGCTGATGCACATAGGCTCCTACAAGGTATGTCCTGTCTATTCATACAGGTAACTAATGGGATTATAAACTTTATGGATATTGTAAAAGAGCTGATAAAATATCCGTTTTGATCATAGTGGTCCCTGATAGGATACAATATAGAGGGTGTTCTTTGTGCCCTGAAGCATTTTTAATGTTAGGCTTGTACTTGTTCAAGATCAGGAATTGGTCATTTCTTCACTTCTGTACTTACCTAATTTTACTCCCTGATTGTAGCAGAAGATTGTGACCTCTACAAATTGACATTGAGCACACCTATGCATTTGCTTTAAACGACTTTACTTTAAGTGAGTGTTCTTTTCATGGAGCACATGAGAAACTGTAGTGGTCGTGGGCACTTAGAAAAATAACATGGATAAAAATTTGGCAATATAATGTCCCTTTTTACAAAAATAATTAAAGAATTTTTTTTTTTTTTTTTATTGTATACAGATTACTCTGTGTATATATATACCCAGATCACAGACTCCACTTTTCTATCTGGAGCTTCCGTGCATAATTGTTTTTATACTTAAAAACTATTTGAATTTTATTTTATTTTTAAATTTTAGTCTTGTAAAACTCTTTTCCTAACTATGCTGTTTATAGAATTTTGTGATGCAGAAAATGTGACTTTATTAGGTGTTAGCAGTGTATAGCTAAATTGCAAAGTATTGCAGTACTGTTTGCAGGACCTGTCAAGTGCTTAAAGATTTACTCCAGGAACTATAGTAACTTCACCTCTTCCATTAAATCAAACCAAACTGGGCATCAAAGCTGTTAGATATTGATGATTTCCCTTAGAAATTCTATAAGTGGCCATTCACCAATTGTGGGGTTTTTTTTTTTTTACTTGAATGTTTCTGTTTTTAGGTAAAAGAATGAAAAGTGCCCAAATCGATTTCTCATGTTGTTCTCTCTTCACTATTTGGCATTCTGAAATTTCTGTCCCTTTATTCCCCTTATCTCCTTCTTGCATTTTGCACCTCCCCGACCCCAAAAATCTATATCTGCTTCTTTTTCACTTTTATGTAAAGCTGTTTTTTACCTGTCTGCATCACAACATCCTTTTGATACTTATGTGAATTCAGTCCACGCTTTCATTCTAGTTCCCCCATTCTACAAATCCTCATATATAAAGTACTCTGTAGACTGACCCTAATTATTACCTTGGAGACAATGCTAGAAATATAACCCACACTATAGTTTTGCCATCCGTTCAGTTTTGCATGGCTGCAAGCATTTTATTAATGACTAGTTCTGTACATCACAATTTATGATCAGACTTTTATTTTTCTTCTATTTTAATGCTTAGCTTTTTTTTTTTTTTTTTAATATATATATTTTTAAGTGTACATTTTGATCTTATATTTTCTGGTTTTGTCCAAGTTCCGAGTTTCTTTGTCCTTCAAAACCGATTCCAAAGTTGAATGAAAAGTGCCCGGCTGAAACAGTACAGCAATGGTTTGGAGCAATGCAGTTAAATGGTATGAAAATCCTCTGTGCTGAAAAAAACTAAACTTATGTGTGTGTATAGACACAATAATTTTATTCTTTTATGATAAGGAGTCATCTCTAACATACGATTCCTTTTTTTTTTTTCTTTTTTTTTTTCAGGTGAAAAGAAAAAATCCTCCAATATGAGTAGTGTTAGTAATTCAGGTGGAGATTTCTACAGCCAACCTGCTTCTCAGTACACTAGGAGTGATATAAGGAAAGGCACAGATTCCTCATTTGAAAGCATTCAGAAAGCTCAAAGAAAGCACAATGCTTTTGAAAAGCAAAATGAACAATTACGTCCTGATTATGGTGATCATCGTAAATTAAGGATACCTCAGCAGACCTTAGGACACTGCACTCTGCGAAGCCTTATTCCACCTCTCAATTCAGCCAGACTAAAGCCAATAAGGCAGAAAACAAAGAATGCTGTGGTACGCATAAAGAGAGCTTTGAGATTATTCGTCGCCATTTATATTGACTTTTATTACTATTAAAAGAACACTTACAATACCATAACCACTATGGTGCCAGGGGAGGCCTGTCTCCCTGCTCCGCCCCCTCCCTCTTCTCCCTGCCCCCGAAGATTTTACCAGGGGTCCACTAGGCACTGCTTTCTACGTCCACTATATTTGACAGAGAGGTGGAAGTTATGTCCAAGCTAATACATGAAGTGCAGATAGCTGAGAGTGATCAGGTGTCCCTCTCAGCCAGTAATATAGCCTTGCACTTCAGGGATTAGCTCCCGAAAGTTAATGTAAGCTTATAAGCAGGAGCTTCTCACTCTGTCAAATTTAGGGAAGGCAAATTTAAAAATTAAAGCGGCACTATCATGCCGCACCTTTGCCCAATCGATTCCTCTTATCTCCCTCTATCAGACTCTGTTCTTCATTTCTTTCTGTCTGCTCTAGTTTTCTTTAAAACATAAGACAAAGTAGCAATTTTCCCACAATTCTCACCTTTGATCCGTGATCTCACGATGCTTCCTGTCGGTATTCCCAAACATCCTGTCACTTAGACAGAACGCCAGCAAAACTACCGAGTTTCGTCCTAATTGAATGAGAACAGTTTCTCCATTCGTGTTAGGACGTAATTTGGAACTTTGTTCAGTTCGAAATTTCATTTGAATTAATGAAATTCTGATCTACTCGTGCTTGCAGCCCCCTCATTACCCCACTGTCATTCAGAGCCCGCACCCGTCGCTCATGGGTGGGGGCTACGGAGGACCCTATGTCCCCCGTATATTTGCATAACCCCCACTCCTGGGGCACGGGTTAATGTATGCCCCACCATGGGGCCATTTTGTTAGAAGTGGGTTATATTGACCCCCAGAGTGAGGGAGGACATGGGGGGGCATAGGAAGTGGCGGGGAGCACTGCTCCCTGCCGCTTCTGTTTTTACATATTACCAGGAGGGAGCTGCGCACCGGTAGCTTCCTCCTTGTTATAAACCAAACAAATTAAGAGGTCTTCGTTCAGTATTTTGACATTTCTATTTATTAGTGTTTCTGATGAATGAATAGGGGAAATTCCTGTTAGAATGCCCAAGTGTTTAACTGGGAATGCGCAAAAATTTCACAGCGCAATCTAGTGTGGGCATATGACGTGTCCCATAGGGACTTCATCTACCCACACAAAGATGGTGGCACCTAGGTCCGGGTACGAAATAAAGATGAAAAAAATAGGTAATATGGGGGGGATTAGGTGCATTTGGGGTTGACTAGGGGGACAATTTGGCCATGACAGTGCCGCTTTAAGTAAGAAGGCAAACCTTTCTAAAACAGTTTTACATTAACGGGCATACACATGTATATGTTTTACTTGATTAATCTAACATGTGAAATTAGTGGAGATATGCTTGCAGTACGTATGTAATTTATCTCTGAGGAGTAATAAAAAAAAATGAATCTTGCAGTCCGAATTTCTCTGTGCTGCTAGATCCACTGATTGGAGAATTGCTTTATTGCTAAAACCGGCATGCATTTATGCAGGATGTTGCAAGAAAACACCATTTATCTCTCAAAGATAAATACAGCAAATAAAGCGCAAAAAAGAACCATTGCAGTGAATGGGAAAGCCACATACTGTAGGTTGTGTGGGCTCGTTTTGAGAAATGAAATTACATGCACATATGTTAAATGCCTTTTTATACACCATGCAGGTTAGTATTCTGGACACAGGAGAGGTTTGCATGGAGTTCTTAAAGGAACACAATTCTCAAGAACGTGTAAAAGAGGTCCTCCGAATATCGTCTGATGGTAATCTGGTAGGTACTGATTTTATCGAAGTTAATCTTCTATTATTATAAACAAAACAAAAAATGTGTGTTAGCGTGATAAATATGTGTGAGTGGACCTCTGGACACAGTAATGCAAATTAGTCCCAATACACGTTTTTACATACTTAGTATGGAAACTCCTGTGGATATTTGTGGGAGTTTTCTTGTTTTAACACAGTCTGCTTATTCATCTTTTTAGGCTAGTGTGAGAATTATTTAGGAACTAATTACATAAATTTTTGGGCTGAAAATATGGCTAATTTTACTGTTTTTATTTATTTTTTTGCTCAATTCTTATTTCCTCCAGGTTTCACATCTCCATTTGCGCTGTTACTAAATATTTAAATATTGTAACTTTTTACATTGTTACATCCAAATTCAGCCTTTCTCACCTCTGGTTCTACTGTTGATCCAAAAGAATGCAAAACACCCCAGTTTGAAGAGCTTTCCAATTTTGCAGCAAACTAGGAACTAAATTCCTTCTCTACCTTAGAATGGCAGTCATATGTCTCCTTTGATCAAGAAGCTGTTATCCTACGAATCTTACCATCCCTTCACATTTTTGAGATTGCCACTTGCTTTTGGTCTTCAATAACAGGAGCAGCACATAGGACAATGATGGTTTTTAGTTTTTTTCATCCCTTTGAAAGCGCAGTAAAGTAGTGATATTTATGACTCATTCTTAACCAAAGATAATCTACATGCATGCAGCTCTGTTGGGCACAAAGGATGAAAAGCTAAGGAACACATTTGTTTAAAACTATATGATTGAAAAAGGGGAGTTAAAAACGAATGGTATTGAGAGTGCCAGTTACTAGTGAAAGTCATATTCTTAAAAGTTGATGTCTGTTTTCTTTAAAACATCGAAAGTTCCAACTCTGTTCTATGTAGGTTTAGCTCTGAACTATTTTTGATAGGAAACCAAATTTGATACATGAAATAATCTGGGCAATCCAGTTTTCAATTTTAAAATTAACTCTCACCAGTTCCTCAACAGAATGTTCCAAAACTAACTTTATTATACTCTTCCTGGTGTCATTTCACTTATGAAGAGAACCCTTTGAATATGAGGTCTCTTCCAATCATTGTGAACCTAACTTTTGAATCCCAATGCAGGTATTTAAGTCCCACTGCTGTGTGGAATATTAATTAGAAATCAGGCTATTATACATTAGACCGTAAAGTCTTCAGGTTAAGTCATTTACCATAATTACCCATAAACTAACCAAAATATCTTCCCTCCTCAGATCTATGTTTATCATCCAAATGAAGGGAAAGGGTTTCCCTTGGTCGACAGACCCCCGTCGCCTCCAGAAACCATGCTGAGTTTCACTTTTGACAGCTTACTTGGTACATACATTTTAAAACTTATTTATTTTTCATTTACTTATTAATTTATTATTTGAATGTATTTTGTTTTTTTGTTTGTCACATATTAAAGGTAGGTGTGTGTGTGTGTGTGTGTGTGTGTATATGTGTATATATATATATGTGTGTGTGTGTGTGTATATATATATATATATATATATATATATATATATATATATATATATATATATATATATATAATTTTTTTTTTTTTTATTATTTGTTATACTCTTGGAGATTATATTCTGGTTTTACTTTATTCTTTTAGAAAAGTATTGGAAAAAGTACCAGTATGCAGCAAAATTTATACAGCTTGTCCGATCCAAAACACCCAAAGTTACGTATTACACGAGATATGCAAAGTGCATGTTAATGGAAAATTCCCCAAATGCTGATGTTGAAGTCTGTTTTTATGACGGTAAGACAGTGTTGTGTGGTTTGTTTTTTATAGCAATTATTATTTTTATTTATTTATTTTAAATTGTACAGATTTCTATACAAATCGATTTTGTACGTTTTTTGGTGGGTGGGTGGTTGTTTTTTATACATATTAATAGAATGTATAAATGTCAAAATACTGCCTGTTTGACAACTTCATCCACCTTCCAACATCTCCTTTAGAATTTGATGGGGTTATTTCCTGGCACCATCCCTACATCATTTCTTTGAAACGTATCAAATCTGCTACATTTAAAGGGACAATCCAAATAATTGCTGTTTAGTAAATATAACCACAATGGAAACATGCATGCATTTAATCATGCTTTTTATTTATTTTTTTCCTTCCCCATTGGGGCTATAACTATAACCAGCTTGCAAAATTTACAGATCCAAATCCAGTCCATACTTGGCTGTCCAATTACAGATTTCCCAAATGCAGCTCAATGAGAAACCTTTGCAAGGCAGGGGCTCTGAATAATTTATATCAACTGTAAGGGGATACACCTGCAAATATTTTTTTATTAGGTATAAACTAATTCCTATTATTGGATTCTGAATAGTATTCTGCACACAGTATACCCTGAAATGGCCTGTACTAAAATACTAGCCTTTTGTCAATGGCAAACCTACACTGTACTACATTTTTTTTCAATCTAATTTTGTTTCTCATTAGGTGCAAAGATCCACAAAACAGGAGATATTACTCGTGTGATAGAAAAATCTGGGAAATCATATACACTGAAGGAAGTCAGCCGAGCCAATGACCTAAATGACGAAATTCAAGCGTATGTGCATCATGCCAATGAGGTATTATTCCTTCACTGGCCAAGCTTTATTAGCCTCTACTGCTCCTTATTACATTCTGTATTTTGTTGTAAACCATGCTTCTTGCTCATTAAGTGTTTTTATTAGCATTGTTTATTGCCGCAGTTTTGTTTTGTTTTTTCTAGTTGAAATAAGCAGGACTTAAAGGATCACTATAGGCACCCGGACCAATTCAGCTCAATGAAGTGGTCTGGGTGCCAGGTCCATCTAGGGTTAACCCTGCAGTTGTAAACATAGCATGCACATTCAGCGGATGATGTCAGAAGAGGGAGGAGAGTCTCCAGCGCCGAGGGAGCCCGACGCTGGAGAAAGTTAACTGTTTAACCCCCTTCAGCCTGGTGGGAGGGGGACCCAGAGTGTGGGGTGGGGGGGACACACGCGCACCCAAAGACCCTATAGATCCTAACGAGTTTGTTTTCCTGGCACTATAGTGGTCCTTTAACTGGTGAATCGCTGGCTGTTTTAGGATTACAACTCCCAAGATGCTTTTGCTAACCATAAGAAAGTTGTAGTTCTACAGTTATTGTGGTAGGTTGGGATACATATTTTGGCTACCCATGATATAAAATATAGAGCTGGGCAAAAAGTTTAATCAAAGACTTGTTGGGACTTCTCCTAGTATATTAATAGTAATTACTGAAAGCAATGTACTGTGGAAGTTCCTCAATATAAGCACCATTAGATTTCCTTTTATTAACCTTTTCTAACAATAAAAACATGATCCAAACAATAAAAACATGATCAAACACTGTACTTTCAGGCAGCAATTGTTTCTCTCAAGTGATATATTCTAATATACCCGTTGTGACACGCTGGGTTTCCAATAAGAGAAAAGAAACCTCTTTATTCAGCTTGTGTCCTGTTCTTTTCTAGTACAGTAGGAAAAAGCAAAATGAATGAAGAGAGTCACAGGGTCACTTCCGGGAAAGCTGAATAGTAGTTTACATTTGGGGTCTATTGTTATATATCCACTCTGTGTGGCTCTCATTAGGTCATGTGTCGGAACTTAGCTGTTTACAATCAGGGGAGAGGAGTATGCGGGTCAACCAGACGCACACAAAGTGTAGTCCTAGCATTATAACCACTACAGAGTTGACGTTTGAGAACTTTTTTGAATTTAAAATATTAGTATAGCATTTATTTAAAGTATGGGATGCATAGCTAGTATATAAACAAAGCATACCATTTTATATAACTCAACCATTTTATGTATAAATTGCCTTTCTGAGAAACTTTAAAAAATTAATTGCGTAAACTTAGTTTTTCTTTTTCACCTATTTGTTCTGCCTTTAAATAATTTTGGAAACTAAAAGCTTTAAACAATATTTCACACAGGCTCTAAAATGTTGGTATAAAAACAACTTAAATGGGCTGCCCAAATACAAAAATGTTTTTTTATTTTTGAGATAGATCTAAAAATAGCTTGCAAAAGACTTGGTGTGTATCCAATCACAGAATTTACAATGCAGATCAATGAGAAGTTTTTACAAAGCAGAAATTCTTTAGCTCCACTGAACTTAACCACCAGGAAGTAACCGGACAGGTTGTTTAATTGACAGCCAGGGGGTGTAACAAAGTTAATTTATAAACGTGCTAATTTCTATTGAACTCTGCACTTTTTTGTAAAAGTAAAAACCAGAACACACACTTAAGCATGCTGAAATGCTCTTTGTGGTCTGGAGTGTCCATTTAAGGTTCTTTCACACTTGTACAACCTCACAAAGCATCACCTCTTCCCTTTTTGTTGTCTCATAGAGCAGTGATTTATTAGTTGAGTGGTTAATTCAATGTCTTAGTCGAGTCCCCCTGAAGGACTGTGGTCAACAGAGGCACCACCCTGATAAATCTTAAACTGTTCAAAGTGGTTTGATTCCTTACTTGGTTATGATGCCAGGGGACTCCTAGCACCAATAACTCTACAGCAGGCTACAGTGGTTAGGATGCTTACAGTACCCCTTTTAAGTAATAGAGGAAAATGTTCCAGTTAATTGGGGGGAAGCTCCATCCAAAATACTCATGTGTTTAAATAAAAAAACTTCTCTTTTTTATCTCTAATGTAATGACAAGGTACACATAACATTTGCAGTATGCATTGTTCATCCTTTGCTTTTAAAACTCATTCTAACTACCTATTTTTTTTATTTTTTTTTATTCAATAATGTGTATTGTATAATATTGTGTCAAAGTAAAATAGTTGTACAGACAATTGGTAAAACCATAACGAACTTTTGGGTACAACAGGAAACACTGACGAAAGTTCAGTGGGACGTTTTGCATTTATCAAATGATCATATTCTTCAATTTATTATTTATTTTAAAACTCTATGCATTTTTCTCCTATTCTGATTTATATTTTCTCTCTGTATTAAATAGAGCCATCATGTATGCCTGTCCTTAGAATCGATCCTTACTATAGAGGAAAAAGAGGGTGAAAATATTTCATTGTTTCCAGTAACATTTGGCAGGTAAGATGCTTTGTTACACTCTCTATGTTGTAATTGGATACTAAGCACGATAACTACAACATTGTGTGTGGTAATGTTGTCATTTTGTTTGTTGTAATGGTGCCAGGAGTGCCCTAGTAATGTCCCATTGTAAGCTGTTAAACTGTTCACGAAGTTCATACCTCCACATTGGCATACCAACTTTGAATAGTTTTCATTGGGCGAGAGTTGTTCGCTATCATGAAGTGAACAAAGGCCAAAGTTGGGATGGCAATTTGGAAGTAATGGATGGAAAAAAAAATGCTAAATTACAATATTTATTTTTTTGCTTTGGACTGATATTTTGAATACAAATGCAACTTTCCATTTGTAACATGTGAGAACAAAAATGTGTGGTTTTGTTTTCTAGGAAGCCAAATAGCACAGATTCACCTACAGTACAATCCTCTGAAGCAGACAGCCATAAACCGCAATATCGTGACAATCTGGTAATGCCTAGCAGTAAAAATTCTCCAACCCAGACGCCCTCCGCTAATCCTTCTGTAAGTGAGGTGCTGCAATAAACAGTGCCAACCATTCTGATGGAGCTGTGACACAGGGTTTTCGATTCCATAAAACGTGCATAGTTTATCACTGTTTTTTGAAGCAATACGATTTTTAAATCTTGCATAATGCCTGGTTTGCAGGACTTGTGTCAGATACACTCTTGTGTTTGTTTAGATTGTCGTGCTTGAGTAACACTGTGTAAGCACTTGAACATTGTAATGTTTTACAAATTACACTACACTGCTCTACTGTAGGAATTTTAAAGGCATCTGCCATGACAGACATGTCTTTTTTGTCACTTCATAAGAGATAAAATGTACAATAATTTATTTAGCACCAACATATTTTGCAGTGCTGTGTTTAATCTATACATTTTGCTTGGGAAATTGTTAATGCTTGTATAAAGGTACTCCTTTATTTGTTTCATTTGTCTTTAATGCTACATCACTGGTATAGCAATAAATGTTTACTCATCCCATCACAAAGTGATACTTCAGCATCATCTAACTCCTCAAATGCTGAGCTGTCTCTCTTATTTCCTGTTGGTGCCTGAGAGCAGTCTTCAAGCTAGTCTATCTTTCAAGCATGCATTTTTTTTGTTTTGTTTGTATAGCCACAATCTATAGTATAAATATTATACCTACCTGATCTTTTTATCCTCACATTGTTTTATTCTTTGAATGTATTAGCATATTTTGATTATGTAACTTTGTCTTTTTGGTGGCTTCAGATGATTTCCTATGAGGGATCTGTATTTTCGGCTCAAACGGGCACGGCTGCAAATGCTACAAAAACTCACACTCCTGATCCTAGCCAAGTCCTAAAATCTGTTTTTGTTAAAAATGTGGGCTGGGCCTCCCAGGTGAGTTTTTATTTATTTATTTATTTTTATCATTGCAAAGAAAAAAACCAAAGGAAAGAGTTGTGTAATTCCCCAGAAAGTGATAATGATAGATGGTACAACCTTTTGAAATAGTATAGTATACCATACTTGAGTTTTAATCATTGGTGGTACATTTTTTTTTAACTTCAGTAAACTTATATTCTGCTTATGAAATTTCCTTACTAATTGCTACTCTTGGATTTCAAGGAGAATTTGATATTTTGGTGAAATTTCGATTTATGTCTGCAATTTAAATATTTCTGCCTCCTTTGAAAAATATTGCTATATCTAACAAAATAGAATCCTTTTATATAGATTAATATATTTTTTTTAATTTATATTTTTTGAAGAATGATAAATTAGTTTTTTTGCCAATTATAGAAAGCCAATTTCAATAAAAGATAAAATCTATAAAACTGTAGGAACCATTGTTCTCCTTGCTGCTTTCTTTGTTTCATATAGCTCCTTGAGTTAAATTATACAAATATAAAGATTGTTTCTACAAATAAGCACCAGGCTTCTTGTTTTGGGATCTGCAATCCACAATTCCAGTTGTCACTAAGTCATCTCTGGAGGCAAGGCTGAGTAAACCGTAAAGCCCCCACATTTTGTAGAACTGCAACTTCCATGATACCTTGACATTTTAAAAGCGGTCTTGGGCCATTCATAAAATATATATTATAATGAATTTTATATAATAAAACTTTAAAAGCCCTTTTCTTAATTTTGATATTTCATTTATTTAGTAGATAAATCCCTTATTTGATATCTTTATGTGGGATTGCCATATTTAAGAATACTAAATTAGGGAGCTAATCTACTAAACACACATTCACAGACTTACACACATAATTACAGAACCTCACACATACAATCATATACACATAATTACTGGCATACACACTCAAATCACATTGACTGACACACACACACACCCACACCTCCCCCTCCTTCTCCACCTTTATTGCTATAGAAGGGCTGGAGTGGATCCTCTACCTAGTGGCCAGTGCTTAGTGCTGTGCTTGGATCACTGCTCTTCCTGCACAGGTCCTTGCGCACCCAGTAGTGAAGCTGATTGCGTCATATGCCGACTCACTGCAGAGCGTGTGAGTGAGTTGTGCAGAAAGAGCACGGTAAGTAATGAACTCCTTCGTTGCTCGGCAGCCCGGACAGCAAATGTGTAACATTACAAATGGTTCAGCGCTGCAGGTTGGACACGCATGCTCTACAACTTCTGAGGGTCTACAATTTGCCCAGCCATGTTCTGGAGGCATTACCATGCAATTCTTTGATTACTCATGCACTACGCTGTCACCACTTATTACTATGGAACACTATGTTTATATTTTTTTTTCATTGAACAATCTAGCTAGCATGCAAGTGACCCTTCTGGGCTCACACTTCTAGCCCACCCCAATCCCTACTACTTCTTGGTTGATATGCAATTTTTGGTGATATACAGATTCAGGAGGCCTAGGACCAGCTTTAAGATAACTCACTCAAAAAAGCAAAGCATTGTCTGTGTGTTCTATCTAAAGTTGTACTGATAGATTTTTATTTTCTTTTTTCCTCCATTGAATAGCTGACCAGTGGGGCAGTATGGGTACAGTTCAATGATGGATCACAACTTGTAGTTCAGCCTGGTGTTTCCTGCATTATTTATACGGCGCCAAATGGTCAGGTAACAAGGTGAGCAAAACCTATTTTTATAATGAATGAGGATATGTTAATACTAAACATCATTACTAGTAATGCCCCAGAAAATATTTTGCCATTGTAAAGTTTAACTAAACAGTAACATTGTGTTAGACTTTGAGTAAAGATAAGCAATGCACTTTAACATTTACAAATCTGTGAAGAGATGCAGCTAAGACCCTGTATAGTACACTAACTAAAATAGAATACAAAGTGCCTTTATCCTATTCTAAAGGTTCTAGTTTTCAATATAGCATGTGTGGCAACCCCCCCTGTTAAAAAAAGAGTGCAGCTTAACTTTGAGTCCATGGTCAGGTGCCTTCTATGAAACATGTCAAAATAAATGCCTGTTTGTCATTACAAAGTTTGCCTTTTTAAATGTTTCTATGCAATAACAAAGATTCCACTGTGATTTTCAGACATGGTGAAAATGACAAGCTCCCAGAGTGCATTAAAAGCAAGCTACAATGCCTTTCGTCCATACTTGTGCTCTTTGCAAATTCATCAACCCGCTAAGAAAAAGGACACATACATCAGACATGAACCATCATTGATTTGTCTTGACTGCAGTCTTCCAGAGATCTGTACAAAACAGCAGACTTGCTCTACTAAACTGGTGCTAGAAATATTTTAAGTAAAACTGCAATATGAGCTTATTTTGCATCTCAGTTCTGTTCTGAGAGTACCCATATCATTGCCACAAACCTGGTGTTTCTATAGCATTTTCCAATAACGTTCTCTTTGAGGTTTCTTAAACGGTGTATAGAAGAGTATAACATTTCTACTTAATTATACCAGAATATTAACAGTTTACAAATCTGCTTTGTGTTCCTGTAAATGTTGTATGTTTTGTAATATGAAAAGTATATTTTTTTATTTTTTATCTGTTAATTTATATTTGTAGCACATCTTCTGATGAAATATCCATGTAAATACCTTCTAAATAATAAATGCAATGATGAGCTCATCTCAAAATTCTTTTAACACTTTTTTTATTTCAATTAAATGATTTGTAATCGTAAAACAGCAGAAATTCTTTTTTGTCTGTTTTGTAAACCATGCTGTGTAATGTATAAATGACCAGATTTGATGAAAATAGTATTTTGATATCATTTACATTGTAATAGTAATCAAAATGTCCCTCCCCATGCAGACTAATTATGTGACTAAATCACATCAGGAGAATAACCTTTTCTGCACCTAACAATCTCTTTATCTGTATGATTTTGATATTGCAGTGGTGTGGAGTAATCTGGATGTAACTTCAGTAAAGCACAGTGAAAGGCATTCACAAAGTCAATGATGTAGTACTAGTGAGAATTGTTTAACATGCCAATCATAACTCCTGGCAATATTTGCACACCAACTCATGTCTGTATTGAAATAATGGTTTAAAACTGAATGGAGATACAGCGCTAGAGGGATCCGTGCTCCAGGCACTATAAACCAGTGTTATGACATGGTTATTTTGCTTATAGTGTTAATTTAGATTTTTTGATTTTACTACATGCTGTTATAACGCTGTCTTAGGCTGGATAAAAACTCTCAATTTGACCATCTGTTAAGTTAAGAACTGTAAGTTTAATGGCAACGTTTTGGGAATTTGGAGGCCAAGGCAACACCTAGAATGCTTTGTCATGTTCCTCAAACTATTTCTGAACAATTTTTGCAGTGTGACGGGTGCATTATCCTGCTGAAAGAAGTCACTCATCAGGAAACACCATTGCCATGAAGGGGTATACGTGGTCTGCAACAATCTCTAGGTTGGTGGTACATGTCAAAGTAACATCCACATAATTGTGCCAGAACCCAAGGTTTCCCAGCAGAACAAGACATTAGCATAACAGTACCTCTGTCGGCCTACCTTCTTCCCATAGTGCATCTTGCTAACATCTTTTCCTCGGGTGAACTATGTATATGCAGGCAGCCATCCACCTGATCTAAAATAAATTGTGATTCAACAGACCAGGCAACCACTGCATACTGTGAACACAGCACAAGACTTGCTGTTTTGGAGATGTTCTGACCCAGGTGTGAGGGCATCACTATTTGGCCCTTGTCAAAATCACTCAGATCTCTTCACTTAAACATTTTTTTTCCTGCTTTCAAAACATAAAATTCAAGAACTGACTATTCACTTGCTACTTTTATATATCCCACATCTTGACTGATGCCATTGTAACATTATAATCAATGTTATTCACTTCACCAGTCAATGGCTTTAATATTGTGACTGATCATTATACATTAGCAAATGTATAGATTTGGAGAAAAACCTATTAAACCAGTTTAGACCCTCGATGCCGAGGAAGACAGTCTCAAGGAATAATTAACCGAGATAGTCAAATGGTTTTGCAGCATCTATGGATATTAGAACACCCATTTCCTAACTATAGCATGCTGTGTAGTAAGTGCAACACCTTCCAAGTGTTATCTGGTGCCCCTTTAGAAAACCTATGTGGCCATCATGAATAACATGAAGGAGTAGGACGCTCAGTATGTTAACAAAACGTTCAGCATGAGTTTAAAAATGAAATCAAATGGACATTTTCAAAACTAGTCGGATGTTGACCCAGTTTGGCTTGGGTGATTACATGGGCTGAGAGCAATTCTGGGGGCAAACCATTAGAGTGCAGAGTTCTATGCATTAACAAGGTAATCTAGGCCGGAGTGGCAACTTTTGAATTTACATCAAGCCAACTGGTGCTGATAATGTATGCGTTTGTTTGGGTACAGCAAACCAATAGATTGTATTTTCTTTTGTAGTTTAAGGAGTAGACTAATTAGCAAATTTATTGCAAATATATTTTGGTATCACTTTTCTTTAGCACAGAGGATGTAAGGAGTCATTGTCTGGGCTGTTCGACTTGCAATCTAGCTCTATTTCCTTGAACATCCAATTATTAAAGTTGGTTACAATTAGAAGAACTCTAACTAAATTTAGGTAATTAATTTTACATTGGATAACTTTTATAACACAGGCAAAAGTGGAAAGGTGTCACTTTAAGAAGTTAAAACCACAAACAAACTTCATTTATAAAAAAAAACATATTTTATTTTAAATTAATATACAATTAAAATATTTTTCTAAAAACAATACATTTATATCAATATATATATATATATATATATATATATATATATTCTCTCCATTCTGTATTTTACAGCTTTACGTATGTAAACAAATAAAAAACCCCATCTTTTCCGTGTGCGAATTCTTTTCATACCCGTCCATATCTAACAGAAAAAGCAATAAGTCTCTTATAGATGACAGACAGGTGTAATATAGACACTGCAACAATACCACAAAGTATACCAAATGTCCATCTTGGTCCCAGATGTGTGTAGATTTGGCTGACAAATATTGGTCCAAGAGTACGTGCAATGCTACCAGCAGCAGTCAGCCAGCCCATGTATACTCCCTACAGGGGGAAATTAGGAAGAAATTACGACACAGATTAAAAACTATTATTCTGCTTAAGAACATAATTAATAGATCAAAGGAAAAAACATAAATGTGAACATAAAAATGTCTTACAACAGTGTTTCTCAAATTTTTACGGACAAGTTCCCCTGCAGGTGTAATAAAAATTTCTAAGTATCCACGCTTTGAGAAAGTAATTTCTATTGATTTACATTCCAAATGAAACGTGTAGACACTGATATTTAACCCCTTAAGGACTGAGCCAAATGTAAATGTTGTGATCAAAACAAAACATTAAAAAAAAAACTTGAATTTGCGCTATATGTCTGTTCAGGCATAATTCACCTCTTTCATATTTTGTGCACCCAAACTTATTATATATCATTTTATTCAGGGGAAACAGGGCTTTCATTTAACATCAAATATTTAGGTATGAAACATAATTTATTATGAATAAAATATAAACAAATGGGAGAAAATAAGAATTTTAAAAAATATTTTAGTTCTACGTGACAGTTTAACTGTGAATGTCATAGTACTGTTTGCTTTTACTGCAATAAAATACACATATTTGTATTCAGCGATGTCTCACGTGTAAAACAGTACCCCCTATGTACAGGTTTTATGGTGTTTTGGGAAGTTACAGGGTCAAATATAGCGTGTTAAATTTTTCATTTTTTTTTCACATTTAAATTCACCAGATTGGTTACGTTGCCTTTGAGGCCGTATGGTAGCCCAGGAATGGGAATTAGTCCCATGATGGCATACCTTTTGTAATAGTAGACAACCTAAGGTATTCCAAATGGTGTATGTCCAGTCGTTTTTACTAGCCACCTGGTCACAAACACTAGCCAAAGTTAGTGTTAATATTTGTTTGTGTGTGAAAAATGCAAAAAACTAATTTGAGCGCCAATTCAAAAAACAGTCACCTTCTGTCACTCATGGGAATTTCTACTAAAATGCTAAATACTAAAGCACCCAAAGTATTTAGGCAAATTTCCCTTAAGGCACAAGCATCTGCAGAACAGGAACAAAAACATTCATCAAATCCTAAAATTTCCTTCTAAAGTTTTACAAGAATTTAACATTGGAGAAATAACTGAATTACTAATTAAAATATTCCTGGACTAGAATTGTATTCCTATATTAAAAAAAAAAAAAAAGCACTGGTCTCAGACAAAGAACTGGTACCAGGACTTACCACTATAGATATTCAGGTCCTATGTGTAGCAAAATTGAGTAAGGAGGGTGGAGGAGATGGATTGGTGTAGGTGATATAGCAAACAAGCAATGTTATTGGACATTTTCCTTCACTAGACATTTTTACTCTCTATTCCCCTCCCAGTTCCCTGTCTATTTCTGCAGCAGCTGTATATCAGACACGAATGCAGTACTACTGTGATATATTATCTGTTATATATATATAATTATTATTTTTTTACATTTATTTATTATTATTTTTATTTATTTTTTACCCCCGGCATTTATTCTAAATTATACTAGATTGTATATGTTTTGGGAGGCTTCTTGTCATGTTGAATAGTACTTAGGGATTTATAATCTGGCTTACAACTGGTTAAGTGCTATCTCATTTACTATTTTTTTTTTATTATAGCTACTGTGCACGGACTATAGCCTAGAATTCATAAGGAAACCTATACTATTACGTGACACTGTTTAACCTGGCAACACTGTTTTTGTATCAAACAGCCAGGTGGATAACTGTTGGTTACCATCTATTCATGATACAATCTACCCCTAAGCTATTAAATATTACATCTAGTGTTTTCACTACCTTATGTACATTCTTGAAAGCGATTGGTTCCCTTTTTAATCAGTTTTGTTTTTCACTGTGTGTAACACTATCACAATTAAATGTTTATCTGTGGTTCATTTTTATGTTTTGTGGCACTACTATACATCATTGCCATAAAATAAAAAAAAATTTTTTTCAATTTTGCTACACATAGGACCTGAATATCTATAGTGGTAACATTGTGAGTCTTGGTACCAGTTCATTGTCTGAGACCAGTTCTTTTATTTTATTTTTCTATATTTGCACTTCGGGGTTATGCCCTGGTTATCCACTTAGCCCCCTTCTTAATGCAACAGGTGTAGGATATTGTCTGCCCTGCACCTGATGCTCATTTTTCCTATAGATTTGTATTCCCAATGCTACAGTGTTTCTTTAAAATATATAAAATTGGTAATATTCTGAAACAATCTCCTCTAGACTTTCATATGTACTTATCTCATGTCTGTGAAGACACAGTATAATCACTTTGAATATTAGCCATACCTGAGGTTTCGGACCTATGATCTTGGAGTACAAAGTATATGACATGACATTACAAGTTGGGTAGCCAATGCCTATCAGAATGTCAGATGTAAGATACTGTGCTAGGTGAATGACAGGCGTATAAAAGCACCATGATTGCACAGGAGGGCACCCAGTTGGCTCCACCGTGTGATTACTGTAGTCTGCTGTATTTGAGAGCCAGTAGCTGGAGTTGTAAATGGTATTATTCTGTATGTCTGTGAACAAGAGAAGAAAAGTTGAAGAGTTTAGGGGAGTCTCACTCTTTAAGGTGCTGAGCATGTTACTAACAAAGTAAACAGGGTTGCTTTACCTGTCCACTGAATCTTTGGAAACTGGGTTCCCCAAGGTAATAAGATAAAGAACCCAACCCAAATTATTACCAGTCCACCAAGGAGTAATATGCGCTCTTCAGTCCTGTAAAAATAATTCATATATAAATTAACAAGATTAAAAATCATTTTTAATGGCTGTATTCAAAACTGAATTTCACTATAACACATAACTTCAATCCATATGCCCTTCTTAACAAATAAATGCAACCTATATGCCCTTCTCAATGATTTAATGTCTAAATCATTTTGAAGAGAATTAAAAACTACATATAGGTTGTATAAACGTAGCATTGTACAAGTTTTTAGCTATTTGATTTTCCTGTCGTTTAATTATCTTGGCTCAGACCTTGGCGGGAGGTCCATTTACATCAGGGCTGTCCAACCCGCGGCCCGGGACAGCAATACGGCCCGGTTGTGGTCCACACTGCCAGGTGGCAAGGGAGGCAGGGAGCCGTTTACATTCTGTGCTCCTCCTGCACAGCTCCCATGTGCACCTTGCAATGTGCTGGCTGCAGGGATTTGATGTCATATCGGCATTATTACTGGGAGAGCGAGTGACCTGTGCAAGAAAAGCACAGAGATCCCACCTCAGCAGCAACCGCTAGCCACCAGGGACAGATTATCCATTCAAGGTAGGGAGGCTTGGTGGACCTTGTTAGTACTAAATGTGTATGAATGTAATTTTTGTGTGTCGGTCTGTGATTGTCTGTTTGAATGTATGTGAGTGAGAGTGTGTGTGTGTGTGTGTGTGTGTGTGTATATATATATATATATGTGTGTGTGTGTGATTGTGTGTATTGGTCTGTGATTGCATGTATGTGTGAGTCTGTGATTGTGTATCTGTATCTTTGTGTGTGTATATATCTGTGATTGTGTGAATAGGTGTGTGTGGGTCTGTGTGTCTACATATGTGAATATGTATGTGACTGTGTGTGTATTTGTGACAGTGTGTGTATACAGGTCTTTGATTGTGTGTGTGTGTTTTTGTGTGAGTGATTGTGTGTACAGGTCTGTGATTGTACGTGTGTGTGTGTGTGTGTGTACACACACCTGTGATTATGTGTGTGTGTATGAATGTGACTGTGTGTATAGGTCTGTGATTATGTGTGTGTGTGGGTCTGTGATTGTATGTGGGTATATCAGTGATTATGTGTGTGTAGTTCTGTGATTGTGTGTATGTGATGGATTATGTGTATATGTATATACACATGTGTGTTTAGTAGATAGCTCCCTAAATTGGTATCCTTAAATATGAAGGTCCCACATAAGGATATCAAATAAGGTAGTTATCTTCTAAACAAACTTGAGAAAAGGTTATTATATAACTTATTATACTGTAGATTTTATGTGCGGCCCAAGACAATTCCTCTGCTCTCAATGCTACCCAGGGAAGCCAAAAGATTAGACACCCATAATTTACATGAAAGAAAGAAACATGAGCATCTGTAAAGAAATGTAAAAATTACTTAACATTAACACAATCTAAAAACTAGTATTATTATGTTAATTAGGGCAGATTTACAGAGTTAGCACTAGCAGACAAGATTGCCAGTGTAATCAGCGAATGTATGTGGGCCACAGGTTAGCTGTGGTGTAACTTTTATTATCATTATTTCTATGTCTCTATTGTACAAGAAAAAACATAAATAACTTGATCAAAACTTACATTTTAGAGAGAATTTTAACCCCAATGAACACAACCATTGATTCAAAACCAATAGCAGCTAGAATGATTCCATTGTACAAAACAGCTTGTGAGCGGGTCCACGCATACATGTCCATAGTTAGAGGGGTGGCAATACTGCGAGGGAGGCAATTAACAATGTTGTCATTAGTGCAAGAGGAAAAAGCTAGAATTCATTGATGGTCTTTTGCTACATCTGATTTGATTTTATGCGTGTAAGTACCAATTTATCCATCAATCCACATGTGTGTGGTCAGTACACAATGTGTTTACACATATAGAACATTGATCTGAGCTGATTTCAAAATTGTAATTTTTTAATTGAATGGCAACCAAAGACAATGTAATTGCTCTTTATCACTAGTTTCTACACCGTAGCTAAAAAGCAAAATGTCAGAATACTTACGTCTCAAAAATGGCAAAACAAAACAAAATAACGAAGAAAAGTATATTAGATGAGACAACAGCAACTTGGTCGACGGACTCCTCACTATTAATTTCGGCTGCATACTCTGAAAGTAAAAGACGAACAGTTACTGCAGAAACAAAACATTTATTCAGATTCAGCAGCATATTTATGGCACACTACAACTAAAACAGTGTTTTAGGGATAGGGACTCCCCAGGCTGAAGGTAGGACTTGGGCGGCACAGAGGGTGGGCCGTGAAACCATTGGAGCGCTGCTGGCAGACACCAAATATGCAGAGATTTAACAATAGCCAGCATGGAACTCTTGTAACTGTACCTCCGGCAGCAACACTGAATAACTACACGTACAAACTCCAACCACCATAACCACGTCAAATCACTGAATTAGTCATGGTGCTTCGAGTAACACTTTAAATTGGCTTCTAAAATATAAGCGGTCACAGAGTCCATGGAAAGTTTCAGGTAATTAAGACCTGAACATCATGTCAAGCACTGAAAGACCATGAGCTTAAAGGCATGCTTTCAAATCTTCTAACATTACTGCCCAAGTTGACAGGCATACTGGAGTATGTGGCGTCCTCAAACTTAATTTTCAGATTCCAGCCAATTGAACAAAACATTTTATGTATAGGCATTGACAAAGTAACACCACATTGGAGAGGTGGTAACACCACGAAAACCCTAGCCAAGAAAGAGACCGAGTGGATCTATAAGCTTAAATCCTCCACCCCATACGGTGTTAATACAGTTTTAGATATTTTAGCATTTATGTAACCTTTACAATTTAAGTCTATTTCTTAGACCATAAGTTTTATTATATGTAGAAAATTCATAGATAACTGCCCTCATTTCTGTTATAAGGGACAAGTGTAATAACACCCTTCAATGGCATCCTTTTACCCCACACCTACCAATGCTAAATGGGATATACATTCATAAGAGTAGCCAACAATTATAGGAGAAAAGGTAGAAATAATTAGATGGTGTGTGGTGTCAATCCATATTAGATCAATAAAGGTGGACCAAAAAAAATTACATCGTCCCTAATATTATAATGACTGCCACACACTGAACTGTAGTCTTGATGCATGTAAGTCAAATGCTTTTTGTTCCCTAGTCCAGTGGCATTTGGCATGAGTTTCCTTCCTGAATAGGAGCCTAGCCTTTCATAGTAAATATCTGAAACAATTTGCCATATGGATCACAAAACACAAACGCAAAAAAGAAAGCTTTGTACAGCTCTGCATTTTCCACCTACAAGCAAACTCGCTTAGGAAACGTTCTAATTCGTTGTGAAATTTCTAAGAAATAATGTAACCAGTAATTCAAATGATCAATATCTATGCAACATAATCTATGAAACCCTGTATTTCCTGCATCATACAATACACATACAATCATAAAATTATACTTATAAAAGGTATACAGTAATTATGGCAGATGTATGTTACAAAATTAGTAGATAATCTGGCAGAAGAGTTTGCATTACCTTCATTTTCATAATTGACATTAGAAATCTGTCTTCCCAGTTCATCCACTCTGTGTTCCCTGTGAAACAACAATAATTAATACAATAATAGCACACAGGCCATTATACTCAACTGCAGGCTAAGAAAGCAGGCCGTGCCAGGTTTAAGTACAATTTAGCAAATACTAAGAGTGTCCGTCATTTCTTTATAACATAAAGAACATGGTCATACAGAGAAGTTAATCGTGATATCAATAGTCAGTACGACTATTGACACAACACTTGGAGTACCCTTTCCTCATCACGTCAACTCTTATATTTATTTTGGTCTCCCTTCCCCTTGCTTCTTATATGTTAGCACAGTCATGTTTTATGTTGTACACTTGTTTCGAAGACTCATTTATCTGCAATAAAGTTCTTTAAAATGACAGCATTACATAATGTTTTTGTCTGTAGGAAGATCACTAACAGCAAACAGAAATATAGAAAGTTGTAAAATAATAAATGACTGGATATTGACTTGATTACCTGAATATTGCAAATACCAGTATGATGTTAACAATACCGAGAAGAGCTCCCATTAAGGACGGTGCTGTGTACATGTTCACTTGTAGGTCAATGGCTTGGAAAGTCACTCCTTTCTCACCAATTAACGTAAAGCACGCCTGGAAAGCTGGGAAGGGGTGGAAGACCGCAAGTTTTGTTTCTGCTATTTTTTTTATTGAACGTGTGCCGTTATATCTTACTTAAAATACTTTAAGATAGGAGGAGGTAGAGTAGATGTTTGTAAAGGTTATTCTTTTATTTCTTTAATTAGATTATGCCCTAATCATACGATAATTTTTGAACAAGAAGAGCAAAATAATCCAGAAACGTTTCTACTTCTGCCATGTCTGTTTCACTGTAACCTTTTTTCCATTCATAAAACCTCTATGTTATTAACTTGCTCTAGTATGAAGCACTCCGTAAACATATTGCTCACTATAATCCAACAACCCTGTCACCTATTCAGGACTGTAGGAACAACTAGTCTGAGTGCTCAAATAGTGCTATAGTACACCTGGGCTTCCCAATTTTTATCAGACTGAGGTATGTATACCTAATGGGATACTTCTAAAAGGGACCTAAAAGTACTAAAGTACCAGTTTAAGTGAGGATGCTAATGCTATTTGAGAGTAATTATAAAAGGGACACGATGAGCCCTAAACAACTTTAACTTAATGGAGTGGTGTTGGTGTATATGTAGTGCCCCTGTAGTATAACTGTTCAATTTTCTGCTATTTAGGAGTTAAATCACTTTGTTTATGCAGTGCTAGTCACATCTTTCCCTTGAAGTCTCCCTGCACATATCCTGTAAAAAGATATCCAATGTTTTTATGCTTCATTTACAGCACGGTCTGTTTAATTTAGAATTTCTCATCTCCCACTCTATTAGTCTGTTAATTGAACTTTAATCATACACAGGATGCTTTAACAAGCTAGTAACAGAGCAGGAGTTAAAAATGTCTAAAGTATACACACTGTGCTGTCACATCTGATTGAAAATCAAACAGTTTTTCGTGTCGGCTGTGTGAGTCACAGCCAGGGGAAGTATGAATATGGCTGCATAAAGAAAAACAAAACTGATTTAACTAATAAATGCAAGAAAATTGAGCAGCGAGACTGCAGAGGCATGATATATACACTAAAACCACTTCATTAAGATAAAGTATTTTTGTTGCTATGATTGTCTCTTTAATATTAAAGCAGCATTGTAGTAGTATTTCACAATTTTTTTTTAATTCACAAAATTTCAGTATTCTGAAATCTTTTTGAAAATACATTATTTACAAATAAAGAAAGAAATCTTATATAACATCAGAGATTCAACTGAAAGTACTGACAATGAAATTAATAAATGATGGCATCACAATCTCTTTTTCAACAGGAATTTTTTAATTTGAACCATAAAAGTATTGTAAAAACTTTAAATAGCATAAAATGAAAGTAGAAAAAAACTGAGAGAGAAAAACATAACCAGTCTCCAAGAGCTCCGATTCTACAATATTTTAAATAAGCGTCAATTCAGACCGGAGCACTCAGGAGAAACCTTGGTAGCATTCCCGTCATTGGGAAAGAGGAACAAAATCCTCCATGGACTGTACCTCCTCAACATTCACTAGAATATACACTAGTTCAAAACTGGCAGTACATCTAACATGGAGAACGACTGGGATAGCTTCCTGACTTACCTGGACCCAGTATAAAACCTAGGGCTTGGAAAGCACTGATGTTAGCCATTGCACCTGTTCTTTCAGACAAGGATGTGGCACCAGCAACGTACGATCGCACAACAGCAACATTTCCTAAAAAGAAAAAAGAAAACATCAGTATATGTCGTTATATATAGATATATATATATATATATATATATATATATATATATATAGATATAGAGAGAGAGAGAGAGAGAGAGAGAGAGAGAGAGAGAGAGAGAGAGAAAAAAAAAAAAAAAAAAAATGTGGTCAGAACCAATGGTCCAATAGGGGCCATAAATATCTGAGTCCATTAGTGACCCACGGTCAATAGGTAAAAAGACCATTTGAAATTGCTACAGAAATTTTGGGGGGAAGGGGAACACTAGAAGATCTGTTCTATATCTTCATTAAGCCCATAGGGGTTCTGACCAAATTTTTTTTATATATATATATATATATATATATATATATATATATATATATATATATATATATATATATATTAATATTTATTAAGGATGAAACATCACCCAGCAATAAATATAAAATGTAAACTTAAAATGAGGTCCTACGCGTTTCGTTCACAATGTGGAACTTCCTCAGGGACCAAAAATTTAAATCAAATGTTATACAGCAATAACAAAACATAAAATGCAGCCTAATCCCACCCTCCCACTAGTCCTGTTTTATAGGGCTAACCCCTGAGTTGATTGATGGTAATCTGGGCGTCCTTCTCTGTTTCATCCTTCATTGGTGAAATAGTTGATCACATCCAGCTGACTTGTTCATATTTTGATTGCAGTCAAAAAATCCCGCGTTCCATGTCAGCCGAAAACCGGAACCGGAAGTGGACACATACTTCCGAGTTCCATTCAATCGTGCGTTTCAACAGAGGAGGTCAAGATGTAAAGTGTTTGTTAACATGGCCATCTAGTGGTCGCCAGGGGAATAGTCCCAAATAGTAGATATTGGAAACAGTCATATATCTATTAAGACAAAACATAGTAATATCGGCAGCAACATGGAGAAATATAAAGCATGAATTTATCATATTAAGATCTTCAATAAGTATTTGATCTAGATCTAATTTCAAAAAACTGTAATTATAATCTTAGATTAATAATTTTAAATAATGTAAAGTATTAAAGTGATAATACTAAAGAAATGTTTTTATTTTTTTTTAAATATAACTGAAAAAGAATAATAAAAATTTGGAAAAGAGAGCACACAAATCTACCATGGATAATCTCTTAATTTATAAGCATTTATTTATCCAAATCAAATACCCTTGGTTAGATAATAAAATAGTTGTTAATCTACTTTTTATAAGAAATATATAAGGAATTATAGCATGAGAATTCCCAGAGGTTTGAGGATTGATAAAACCCCAGCCATTGGATTAGAAGATCCCTTATTTTTAGAAGAATGGGATGAAATTCTTACCAATTGTTCCTTTCAATTAATACAACTCATTATTAAATATTCAAAAGATTTACAAAATAAAATAGAAGGAGAATGAAATACCCTAGAGGCAAATTCCACCTTAGATACAGAAAATTAAGAATTTAAAGAAAGAGAAATAACTTTACAGACTAATATCAGGAATCTTGATGAGAAAATAGCTGAGACCAAAAATAAAAAATATAAGAGGGACAAAGAAGACAAAATGTCTAATACTTTTTCAACACAAAATAAATTACATCGGAAAAAAACACGACCCTATACGTATAGGAACATTTCCTCTAAAGTACCCTTTCATAAGAGGACTACCTCAGTGTCTAAAGATAGTCAAGGGGATACATATCATTTACACAATTTTCAACATCAAAACACGTATCACTCTAACACTGCTCTCCATCAAGAGAAATCTCATATATCACAGAGGAGATTATCTCCTGATCCCAATAGAGATACTCATTCCTATGCTCAGGTTGTTAGACATAAATTGGATCAAGGAAGAGCCACTACTCAGTTTAATGACAGAGAAAGGGCCAACATTCAGTTTAATGATAAAGAATCAAATTTTCAGGGGCGTTTGAAAGGCCCACGAGAAAAAAATATCACCAACTACTTCCGTCCCAGGGCAGAAACATGGGAACATCCCAATCGATTTTCCCTGTTACAACAAGATTCCCCTCAAAAGAGAATAAGGACAGAAGACTAAATACTTCTCCCTCTTTGGCATATCCTTTGAGGGAAAAAGAAGTAACAAAGGGTATATTCAATCTAACTGAAACACCATTATCAGATGACGAAATTGATTTACTCTCCAAGGGGATGAAATTTGCCCCCAACAAAACGGCAAATGATTTTAAATTATATATAGACCTTAAAAAATACATTCGGTCTATGACTATCCAAAGGCATTTTCTCTTGCATCCCTCACCACTTGATATTAATGGCCCTAGTGAGAATATACAATCCAATTTTAAATTTAAACCTAAATCTCATTTTTTCCCCGTACAAAGTAGGGGTCCTTATTTAGAAATATTTGAACGGATGGTAGATCAAGAATTTCAATCCGTGACAAGGGAAAACAAATCTAAAAGCTGTACTCATAATCTTACTAAAAAAAAGAATCTAATATTTTAAAAAATCTTATGGAAAGAGAAGATTTGGTTATTAGGGAGGCTGACAAAGGGGGGGGGTATCGTTCTTATGACAATGACTTATTATTTGGAGGAATCTTCTAATATCTTGAATGACGTAAATACATATGTACTTCTGAAATCTGACCCTACACATCAATTCAATTTAGAATTGATAAGCATTTTAGAGAAGGCTAAGAAGGATGAAATCATTTCTCAAAAAAATTTTGAATATTTATTTCAAAAAAATCCCACCATTCCCATCTTTTACTTTCTCCCTAAGACCCATAAACATCTTCCCAACCCCCCGGGCCGCCCAATTATAAGCGGGATAAACTTGATTACTGCTAATTTATCTGCTTTTGCAGATTTTTATTTACAGAAATACGCTCAAAATTCGCCATCATATGTCAAGGATACAAAATCATTCCTACAAGAAATTGAAAATATCGAGTGGGATCCGGAATATAGTTGGGCGACCCTAGATGTCACCTTCCTATACACAGTTATTAGTCACTCACGAGGGTTAGAGGCCATTGATTACTTCATGGACCAAGATCCAGATCTTTCACAGGGCCTAAAAACATTTATTTTATTTGCTGTTAAATTTATTTTAGAGCACAATTATTTCTTTTTTAATGTAAAATTTTATTTACGGATCATGGGGAACGCCATGGGCACCGGGTTTGCCCCCAGTTATGCCAACGCCTATGTTCGGAGATGGGAAGAATTATTTGTGTGGTCAAGGCATGACTGGAGGGAAAACTTGGTGCTCTGGCGGCGCTATATTGATGATTTTATTATTATTTGGAAAGGGTCTTCTATCTTATTTTTTGAATTCGTGAATTTTCTAAACTCCAACCAATATAATTTAGTCTTCACTCCTGTTTGGAGTAAAGACACAATTAATTTTTTGGACCTCACTTTGTTTAGTGAAGCTGGCCAAATTCGTACTAAGTGCTATTTCAAGCCAACTGATGGCAACGATTTCGTACATCAGGACAGTTGTCATCATAAGCCCTGGCTTAAGGGAATAGCTAAAAGCCAATTCACACGCCTTAGACGCAACTGTTCACATGACCATGATTTTTACATCCAATCACATCACATTAAAGATAAACTATTGGAGAAGGGATACAAGAGAAATGCCTTGGAAAAAGAAATTTGCCATTTAACACAAACAAATAGAAATACATTATTAATGGACAAACCCATTTTTGATACTGTGGATAACCGATTCAGGTCTGCCTTTCTGACCCAATACAATGTTGACCATAGAAAGATTAAAAAAGGATTACAGAATCATTGGTCAATACTGTTACAAGACCCAGTGTTGGGAATACACATACCTGAACACCCTCGAGTAATTTTTAAGAAAAATCAAAACTTCAAAAATATGTTGGCACCTAGTTACGCTATTAAAACCTCTTCCACCAATACGAATACAGGATTTTGTAGGGGATGTAATGTGTGTAAAGCCTGTAAGACCGTGACTATTGAGAGATCCAATACCTTCTCTAGTTTCAAAACTGGGAGGGTATACCACATTAAATCAGATATAGGTTGCCACACGGATTTTGTGGTTTATTTACTACAATGTCCGTGTGGCAAACAGTACGTGGGTCGCACTACAAGAATTTTAAAAGTTCGTATACTTGAACATCTGAACAATATTAGGAAGGGGTTAATTACCCATTCAGTCTCCGCTCATTGCAGTATATGCCCCTTTTTTTCATGGAAAGAGTTCAGATGCATAGGTATTGAAAGAGTTGTCTCCCACTGGCGTGGTGGTGATAGGACAAAAAATTTATCCCAAAGACAAACCTTTTGGATTCACCAACTAAAAACACTAGAACCAATGGGATTAAATGTAGACATCGATTTGGCCTGCTTTTCATAAACCATATTGGGTTTCTGGTCTGTTTATATACCTCTACGTTGTACTATATTAACATTTGGTCTTCTCTTCCTCTTTTTCATGTTCCCCTCTCTACCTTTTGGGAATCACATAGAGATATAGAGTTGTATTGAATAAGTTCTCATGATATAATTCCTTATATATTTATTTAATAAAAAGTAGATTAACAACTATTTTATTATCTAATCAAGGGTATTTGATTTGGATAAATAAATGCTTATAAATTAAGAGATTATCCATGGTAGATTTGTGTGCTCTCTTTTCCAAATTTTTATTATTCTATTTCAGTTATATTTAAAAAAAAAAAAAATTCTTTTGTATTATCACTTTAATACTTTACATTATTTACAATTATTAATCTAAGATTATAATTAAACTTTTTTGAAATTAGATCTAGATCAAATACTTATTGAAGATCTTAATATGATAAATTCATGCTTTATATTTCTCCATGTTGCTGCCGATATTACTATGTTTTGTCTTAACAGATATATAACTGTTTCCAATATCTACTATTTGGGACTATTCCCCTGGCGACCACTAGATGGCCATGTTAACAAACACTTTACATCTTGACCTCCTCTGTTGAAACGCACGATTGAATGGAACGCGGAAGTATGTGTCCACTTCCGGTTCCGGTTTTCGGCTGACATGGAACGCGGGATTTTTTGACTGCAGTCAAAATAAGAACAAGTCAGCTGGATGTGATCAACTATTTCACCAATGAAGGACGAAACAGAGAAGGACGCCCAGATTACCATCAATCAACTCAGGGGTTAGCCCTATAAAACAGGACTAGTGGGAGGGTGGGATTAGGCTGCATTTTATGTTTTGTTATTGCTGTATAACATTTGATTTAAATTTTTGGTCCCTGAGGAAGTTCCACATTGTGAACGAAACGCGTAGGACCTCATTTTAAGTTTACATTTTATATTTATTGCTGGGTGATGTCTCATCCTTAATAAAGCCGCTTTATTTATTTTTCCCACCATCCTGGGAGTCCTGTTTTTCATCTACTCTTTTGGAGCAACTGGAGGAGGATAATAGCCCCCCATTACTATCGGGGGAGGCACCATGGAGCGATATTTTTTGTCTAATCTTGTGAGTGCATTTCATGAATACTTACTTATTATTTGATACAGATTTACACTATGTAATTTACACTATTTTTCAATTTTAGATTTCTCAGCCGTATCCCAAATATTTCTGGTTGTTCTATATAACACTGAATAACAACTGCTTCCATTATTGTTCACTTAACGATTAAAATAACAATGATTGTACTTGTGCAACTTGTGAATGTAGATTAATATCAGAATAATATTGCCTTTTCATATCTATGTGTTTACCAACCCCAGGACCCCTCTCCGTTTGGTGATAGGATAAGATTTAAAGAGACTAATTTTACTTTTTATAGTGACCTATGGCAATAATTATATTACCACTTTTTAAAGAAGAAAAGTGGTAAGATTATTCTATTACTATTGTTTTTTATGATTTGATTAGTGATGTATTTTACTTGGGTCTTAATGTCCAAATTATGTTCACCATTTATGGATTTTAATGAAGTATTGTCTTTTTAAATCTCCTTTATGATCATCATTTTTACAGTGGTTTTTGATATGTTGTCACTTTAAGAAAGGGCTCCCCATTTAGGATGACATCATGTTTAATCCCACTGTTATGGCTGAATATCGGTGTATATATACCTGAGGAATTTAGTCTTGAAAAAGTCTTCCAGTAAGACGAAATGCATAGACTTCTGACTCCTAATCCTTTTACTCAAGTTTCCAGCATATTTTATCCTGACATTGAATACGCCATTAAGGCAGTGACACTAACTGCCGAAAACTGACAGACCTCACAGCATCGGGCGGGTTGATCAGCGTGCTCCCTTACCCGGCGTTTGGTGTGGCGTAAGTTACTTTGGGTTACCCCCAGAGCTTTTTCAGGCTTGGGAACGTGCTCAGAGTATCCTTAACCTTGTCTTATAGCCAGGTGGGTTTAAGTGCTCCAAATTCCCTCTCGCCCCCCCCCCCAAGGGTCAATTGATTACTTCGGATTTTATTTACACTGAACTACTTTTTTGACTCAGGGATTTTTCATTTATCTATTATTTTTCCTTGGGATCACCCCAGCGAAGGGGCCTCTCGCTGGAGTCATATTGACAATTTTCTTAGAATCTGTGTACATTTTATATATATATATATCATTGTTTTTATTTTTATATGATACTGTGCATTAAAAGTCCATTAAAATTCTATATCATCAGACACTGTTGCTCTCTCATATATATATATACACACTTATTTTATTAGCCTTTGTTTATTATTTAGAAGTAATGTATCTTTACACTTGAGCTTATCAGATCCCTTTGTGCTGGAATTACCTTTGAGTTTTTTCTTTGGAGCGCTCACACACGTAGATGTTTCTTGCCATAAAACTTTACTAACACAGCATAATTAGTTGGACACCTCCCTCCGTATCTATGCTGTATATGGATCTGTGTTATAGGAAGTGTCATCAAGTGCCGTAATCCTTTGGGGTGTATATCTCCCAGCACATTTTCAGTTTAATTTTTCATAAATGATGTTCTGACTAATTAAAGTTTTAATATCCTATGTGGCTATTAAGCTAAATGCAAGGGGGAAATCTGGAAGAACATCTATAGAAACATAAGAAAATGTTGTCATTGGATATATAGCACCTGTTTTACCTTGTATTCCTAGTGTGGCCCTATTGCTCCCTGTACAAGGTAGGTACCACTCTTGATGGAGAATAATGCAACATAAACAGAACTGCTCAAGAATGATCACAATTGATGAAGACACTAAAGATAATCAGAACTGTGAGCAGGTGAGAGCTGAGTGATGTGCATAAATTGTTTCCAGAAAAGTGCCAGAGTATATAAAATTAGATTTTCACTCAGTTGCTGATCTTTCAGTTATTGGTATACTTTTCATGACAGCAGCACTTAATACAGGAAGTACTAAAAACACATTTGTATTTAAAATGTACCTGATCCAAATCCTACTAGAGCCCTGGATATCAGCATGTAGTATTTGTTGTGAGAAGCAGGAACATGTACATAAGCATATAGGACACTGGCAGCTACCAAGATGCTTATGGATACGGCGAGTGGTTCTCTTCTCGGCCTATGGTTGGACCAAAGTCCAAACAAAGGCGAAGCCAACATCTGGCCCAGACTGTACGATGCTATAACCCAACCAAGGAAACTGGTATCAGCACTCACGTCAACCTTAGACAAAAAAAAAATAAAATAAGAAAAATAAACTGTTAACACAAAATGTATGGAGATTATACCACCACTAGTTTTACATGCACACCTTCCACACACAAGGATTATGACATTTTTATGCATCACACCACACAACTTACCTGTTGAAGATATGGCCAGATTGATGTAACCACAATTGAAAACCCTGAAATTAAGGAGATTTGACACACAAAATTTATTGCAGGTAAAATAGATTTAGATTTTATCAGGTGAATTCACATCTACTAAGAGCTGAAAGTTTTAACCAATGTGGCCACTTTTATACAGCTCAATTTATTTCAGTGTGGGTGTTAAAATTTCTGAGAGTTGGGGGGCGGGGCTTGACCATCATGGCGGAGAGACGTGTTCTCCACGAGCTCCCGCACAAACTCGGCAAAAAGCAGACAATAAGGCTCCTACGGGCAACACAAGCGGCAACCCCAGATACCCTCCTGCCACCCACAACAGGAGGCACAGAAGAGGTCGGCAGGCGACCCGAATGGGGCCAGATGGAACCGCGACTGACACTGCGGCTTGGTGCGCGACAGGCGGGGGAGGCAGCCGCTCCCCCGATCTGGAGGCATACTGAAGCTGACCACAACACAAGATAGCCCTGCTACCCACCCCCCACCCGGACCGGTGGGAGTAATCCCGGATCACACAGGGGTGGCGACCCCGGGCACACGAAGAAGCAGAGAGGCGCCAAGGTGGGAAAGAGGAGACCTACCTAAAATGGCGGACGCAGCAAGTACTGACACTCCGACGAGCACATCACAAGATATCCTCATACGAATCCACAACCACTTTGTGGCATTCCGGAGGAAACTGTATGGTAAGCTGTACACCCATGCCCCACCACAGCCTACTGCCCTTGCAAAGCGACCACCGCCACCCAACTCCCAGCGAGGGAACCAGCGCACGCACCGCTGCCCTACACGCACACTCACCCAGGCACGGCACCAACGCAGACCCACTCACCAACCCCATCGCAACCCCACCACACGCCGACCCGGTGCAGACCGACCCCACGCTCCCAAATCATCCCAGCAGAGGGGACACAAGCTACAGCGCCAACTACAAGCACGAAGTGAAATCAGGGGACAACACCTGGGACAACAACTCTGCTGCCCGACGGCAGGCATGATGCAGCAGCATACAAGAATCTGGGACTGGCAGCACAAGGGCACAAGGAAGGGAGTGAGACTCTCGTGGCAGACCACAGTCTGGCCCCAACAGGGAATTGGCTGACCCTACAGATATGCAGAGGACTCTCCCACCCCTGGCAAGTAATCCCAAGGGCACCATCAATAGACTCAAAAGTTTTTACAAGTGCATACTATTATTTTTATTTTTACTTTATATTCATACCTTTTATAACCCTTGCTGATATGTTTAACACTGTAAGAGAACAGACTTGCAGATAGCCAGGGCCAGCGTATTGACTTAGCTTCCCTCATATCCGCCTACAACGAGACACAATCACCTCACAGCTTAGCAAGTTAAGCATCTAAGCACATTAGCATTGCCTCATCGTTTTATGTACCATTAAGGTCTTATTCCTCTTTCCTTAAAAATGCTTGGTTGCCGACCTATGCCTACAATCACACTATAAACCCGCTGCTAGCCTATATCAACCATTCGTAAACCACTTTTGTATAAAAGCTAGACTAAGCCTATATCTTGTAGATTGAATGTTACTCTATGATGCTCAAAAATTAACTGACCAGATATACCAGCGATGTTACCTTCAGTTATGAATCATAGAAACATAGAATGTGACGGCGGATAAGAACCATTCGGCCCATCTAGTCTGCCCAATTTTCTAAATACTTTCATTAGTCCCTAGTCTTATTTTATAGTTAGGATAGCCTTATGCCTATCCCACGAATCAGTTAGCTGTTAAACCCTCTACTGTTTACTACTTAAACTATCTGTACACAAAAAATGTGCTAGACCTATCTTGTACCTCAATGTTCAAATGTCTACAATGCGGTGGAGGATTGCCTTTGGGGTACCTCACAACCATCTGTTATAAGCTTATGCACTACAAAAATAAAGAATGAATTTTTTTTTTTTTTTTTATAATTTCTGAGAGTTAAATGAAATTAAACAGCATTGAACATATCACATCCTTACCACTCAGTTCTCCTCTATGCAGGACTTAAATCACTTTCTTTATAGAGGCATGGACACATCTTCCCTGGTGTGTCGGTTACCCCCAAACTTACTGTTTAAGACTATAACATTCTCCTGGCTCCCTTAGTCCCAATCCCATCCATGCTTCTCAGCAAGTGCCTCTCACTACCACGTCCACAGCTTATACACAGAGTCGGAGTATCACAGACTTGTCAGCGGCACGTGTCCATAGACCACATGGAACTCCGGCTTGGCCGCGAACATCCCTCTGTTGTAGCGGCCACTCCAAACTTTAATGGAGTGGTGTTTCCCCAAACCTCCACAGATCAGGGTGCTTTTAGTGAGCTCCAGCAAGAGCTATCTGGGGATGTAAAACATGTCGGGGTTCGGGAATGTGATCACTCTGTTTTTTTTATTTTATTTTTCTGTGTTTGTCTCTCTGTATCCAGGAGGTAATTAGTGTAGCAGACATTGACACAATTATCTCCCAGACACAGAGGCCCTGGGCTGGTTCTGCTATACAGTGAATGGAGACCCCATGCTGGGGGTCTGTGCATAAAAGGCTACATTTTGTGCAATAAAACCAATTATTCTTCCGAGCATCATGTGTCGTCTGATGTCTGGGGAAAGGGGCTATAAACACACGGTTCTTGATTTCAGCTAAGAGGAGAAACTAGCGGAAGTATCCAGTTGGAATACTGGTAAGTCTGCTACACCTGGCTTTCTCACACAGACTTCATACACATTTCCTGAAAAAGGTTCAAATTGTTTAACTCCTCTGATTGCACAGTCAGGGTTACTTACTAAAGTAAGAACTGGAAATCAAACACAAATCAAAGTGAATTTCATATTTTAGACAAAAATAGCTGAATTGAAAGCATGACTTGAATTTTTTTTCCAATTCAGTTATGCTTGCCTTAAATTTGAAATTCACTTTGAATTCCAAATAATGTGGTTTTAATTTAGAAAGTATCTCCTGCTCTGTTAATTGTCTGCTGGGGTCTACAGAAGCCTCTTTTTTTGTGATTAAAGTTTAGTTAACAGAGCAAGATATAAGAACTGTTAGAGTAAAGATATTGTGCTGTAAAATGTAAACCTTCTTTTCACAGAAACTGTGTCAGAGCCTGGGGAGGTGGGCTAGGGCTAAACAAAGTGATTAGAAGTCCTCAGCTGCAGAGAATTGATCAGTGAGACTGCAGGGACATGATCTACACACCAAAACTGCTCCATTAAGCTTACATTATTTGGTACTTCAAGCATCTTTTTTTTCCCCAATCACCAACAATGCATGGTGAGGGAAGGGCCACTTGGCAATGCCCAATTGGGCTTAGGGGTACCATTCCACCACAAAGGGGATTAAAGAAATTTCAGGGGGTAAATGGACTAGTCCTCAACTTAGGTGGAGGTTGCCCTTTGGAACCCTATAGTAAATGGGCAAGGTAGCTCACTGTAGGTTGTAGTCATGGTGCAGGCATGCTTCTGGCTCAGTCTCCTAGTTTTGTGTCAAACTGTTTCCTTAAAGGAACATTCCAAATACCATAACCACTACAGAGTCCTGTAGTGATTTTGGTGTAAGGAGTGCCCTGGTGTTTTAGAACTGTTTGAGTTCTTGCCTGGGATATGCTGGGCAGTGTCAGCAGCCAGGAGAGTCAGAAGCTCCTGCTAAGTGTAGGGCTAGCTCACTGGCTAAGAGCGTCAGCTGATCGTTCTCAGCCATTGAGCTGAGTTCTGCACTGTGTAGCTCAGACACTAAGCTTCCGGCTTTCACCAGGGTTGCAGCAGAGGCAGAGAGCAGCACCTGATGGATACCTTGTAAAAAATATCAAACTGGTGGGGGGATACGACACCAGGGCATTCCTGGCACTATAATCCCTAGAGTGCACTTTGGGGTTTATGGTGCTTGGAGTGTTCCTTTAAACTCTAATCCTTAAAGAGACACTATAGTAACCAGAACAACTACAGCTTATTGTATTTGTTCTGGTGAGTAGAATCATTACCTTCAGGCGTTTTGCAGTAAATACTGTCTTTTCAGAGAAAATGCAGTGATTATATTACATCCTAGGGATGCCTCCACTGGCCACTCGTCAGATGGCTGCTAGAGGTGCTTCCTGGGGCAGTGCTGCACAGTGTGCAGCACTACTATTTAGTGTCTCCACCCTCTGCATACAGACACTGAACTTTCTTCATAGAGATTCAATGCATCTCTATGAGGAGATGTTCATTGGTCAGGGCTGTGTTTGGCTTGTGCTGGCTCTGTCCCTAATCTGCCTCCTTGACAGTCTCAGCCAGCCTATGTGAAGGCATTGTTATTGGCTCAAACAATCACTTCTGATGATGTCAGCCAAGCAGGCAGATCAGGGGCAGAGCCAGCAGGTGAAGATTTGAACAAAAGTAAGATTTTACTATATTTAGGGGGACATGTTTGTGTTCCTGACCCTATAGTGTTAATTTAAACACTTAATAAAGAAAATGTAAATAAACTGTGCGCAGTATAATACATGTTGCCTATGCAGCAATAGTTAATTTAATGAGGTCATGTGGATGGACTGTTAGATTTGGTCTTCTTCACTTACCTACACTGCTGAGAAACATCGTAAGGTACATAACCCGAATTGACCACCACCTGCTTTTATTTTGCGTAATAGTTTCCACAATGTCCCTAAAAAGAAAACATGATCTCAATTAAAACAATACAAATTACAAAAAGCCCTAATACTCTCAATATTAATGGTGGTCTGTCTGACGATGCTACACTCACAGGGTTACTAAAGTAAAAATGTAAGAAATATATAATGAATTTCAAATTTAAGACCAAAATAGCCAAACTGAAAAAAGAATTGTACTAATTAAACTATTTTGGACTCCGTTTTGAAATTCAGTTTGTATTCTTGTCAATTCTCATTTCAGTTTAAAAAATAAATTAAAAAATCTCCTTTTTATTAAGTATATACAGAGCTGACCAGAATTTGCAATGCTTCCAACGCAAGCTAAAAGAACAGCCCCTGCTTTGTCCTTCAAAGTCTTATCCCATTATTAACTTCGGTTATTCACTTCCAGAGGTCACTGGGCTGGATTATCCCAGCTCTCCAACATTACGGAGTCAATTTAATACGTTTTTCAAAGGATTCAATACTGCTCGAAAAACTTTCCAAATGAACTTTCTACAAAAATTCCTGTGGAAGAACTAAAAAAAAGAAATAAACCTGAATCCCGAGATAATTAATTTACTACTACACATCCATTCAGGTAAAACTACAACAAATTGTTAAAAACCCAAGTGTTATTTTCGAAGGGTTTCTTATTGATAATCTTACACGGCATGCGAAGCACTCAGAAGAGGTGTGCACTCATCATCATTCAGTGAAGCCATCTTGTCTTGCTGTACTGCGGGCCACTTTTCCCTCTGTTTCCCACCAATAGTTTGATTCCACTGCAAAAGAGAAAGAGGCAAATAACTGAATTATAGTACAGAGTAACTCAACATGACAGTACGAGTGACCATTACAGAAAAATAGAGAGGGCTAAGAGTATGAAAACAAAGTTCATAAGTGAATGCTATAAAACACTGGTATCAGATAAAAAGACTTTTAAAGATTTATATAAGAGAAAAATCCTGAAGTAGTTTGGATTTCTATTGACTGTATTTTACGTTCAAAGTAAATACAACCATTGTAATATTTCATAAACATACCAGAGATTTTATCTCAGGTAGAACCAAATTGCTTTTAATCTACGCCCGAACTAATCAATCCGTTTAGGATTTCACTGAATAAGACTTCACATTTAAACCCCCACACTGATGAATTTGGCTTACATTAAATGGAATTTGATTTGTTCTTACCAGATAATAAGCATTAATGCACACATCTAGTGATTAGTATTATGGCATTACTAAGAATACTTACATAGTTATAACGGAGTAGGTTATATACGGGGCTTCTTTAAAGTGAGAGTTTTCAAGAATTTTTCAGTTCTCTTTTAGCCTAAAATGTACATTATATTTACTTATCCTCTCAAATGTGAATTGGTGAGGTGTGAAAAATAAAACTTTATGTAAAAATTCATGCCGCTCAGTTCAGCAACTGGATGCTTCCATCGTGGTCTGCTTTACAGTGATTCATTTTAAGATGTCTTTTGCAGCTGGAAGTTAGCACAGAGAACAAAGACAGAAAAAAAAGTCTCCTCATGCGCAATGTCGTTCTTGGCTGTGCCTGGACTCAACTGGATTGTGAGGAAATTTCCTAAATCTCAAGCGCATCATAATCAGCAGCAATCTGCTTGCTACTGAGCTTCCTGCATCATTCCCTGGTCTTAGTGCTCACTTTGGTTAAAAACAAAAAAACATTACAAACAGCCTATGCCCTTCACATTACACAAAGACAACAAACTCCCACATATTACACAGCCAGGGCACACCACACTACCCACTTCCAACACAGTAAGGACAGAGGGAAAGATGCTAAGGAAGGGGCCCTTGTAGTTCAAATTAAAATTACTTTGTGGGGAAGGACAAGTAGCTTGTCATGAGGAACATTTGGATTGGGTTACCATTGGGTTACATTTTCACAACCCTGCTCGTTTCCCACAACAATTAGCAGACTGCACTGGTTTTCCCTAGCTGTAGATTGTAGGCCTTCATCCACAGGGTTTCCATAGAGGCTGCAATTCTGAGTTTCTGCAGCCATTTTGCCCGAGCCACATCGTGGTTCTCCTGGCTCAGACAACCTTTTACTTGGAGGTGTATGGTGTGTTCTGGACTTCTCATAATGTATTATTGATTCAATAATTCTCTATGAGACAAATTTGATTGGCAGATTGCAGCAAAACACGTGCATGCTACTATGGTCCACAAAGATTCTAAATGAGAAGCACTGGATTGGACAATGGGCCAGTGACCTTATGATGTCAGAGCAACGTCCAGCATGGGGGCTGCTGATGGTACTGGAATAAAGTTAAGTAGATGACTTATTTTAGCCATTATTTATTAAACATCAGTTGCTGTAATTAAACAATAGATATTTCTGGGGCAGTCTGTGTGAATATAATTAAAAAGTATTTCACCATTTACATTGGAGAAATTTGTGTGCAGCAGATGTCCTCATGCTCAACCGGATACAAGTGAACAAATAAAAAAAAAAGCTCATAGAGTCAAATTGTTCAAATAGAATTTTATTACAATGATAAAAAGGAATATTTAACAAGTTGGACTCTCATATTTGTTCAGCAATTTACCAGCATAACACATCTCAGGGGGATTCCTGAGTGAATGTGCAGAATTCGTCATCCCATCTAATGCAGTGTAGTTGCAAAGAAGTGTCATGGCAACCCGCGCTTACTTTAATATTGACTTCATGCTCCTGTCACAAACTTACTTGTACTCGGTGCCCACGCTGCTCCTCTCCTCGGACCACGCAGGCAGAATGCACCGCGTGGCCCGAATTCTCCAAGTTGCCGTGCAGCCTGAATAATATACTCACCTTTGGTCCAGCGAAAAGCTCCCTCTGCTGGTTTTCAGGCCGTAATGCAGTTCCTTAAATAATTAAACTCCCATGACGTCACGCCCTTAAAAGGGCCGCGTCATCTAGGCCCTGACCCTGTAGTGTTCCTTTAAGGAAAAGCTGTGTTGGTGCTTTAAGATCAAAGTATTTAATTTACACAAGTTACTAGCACCTTAACTCAAGCATGTCAAACTCACAGCCCACAAGGATTATCTTTGCGGCCCAGTGAGCCACGAGTACACGCTGGGTTATAGCAAAGTAGGCACCTGCTTTTCCCACATTGCAGGTGCCCACTCTGCTAAAACTTACCCGGCCAGGGAGAAGGGCCAGCGAGGGAGCTCAGTTTCCTGCTACTCACTCGCGTGCGCCGTCTGTAGTGAAGCCGGGCACCGGAATATGACGTCATATTCCAGCACCCGGCATCACTAAACCGCGCGAGGAGCAGGAAGGTGATCTCCAGACAGAAGATCCCCATACCAGCGGCCAATAAATTAAAATGTGAGTGCAAGAATGTGTAAATGTGTGTGTCTGTCAGTATGTGTGTGTGTCTCTGTTGGTCAGTGTTGCATTGGCTACGACTGGACAGTGGAGGTGCATGGAGGCATGCAACGCAATGTGACATCGACGTGCTGCACCTTCACAAGGTTTCAAGAAGTAGCGGGAGAATCAGATTTGGCACAGGGTGGTAGAGGAGGATGCTGGGTTTTTTTTTTTTTTTATTACACTGTACTTTTTAAAATAAACCTAAGTTTCTATGAAAATTTAAGGTATTTTTTTTTTGCCGCCCACATAAACTTAAACCTTGTTTATGTGGCATGTGCCATACTTTGAGTTTGACATGCTTGCCTTAAAGGGTCGGTGTAGGCACCATACCTCAATAGTCTGCTAGTGGTTATGTTGCCAAGATTCCCCCTGGTATTATCCCACAGTAATCAAATGTTTATTATGGTGTGACACTTAAAGGGATACTATCGTGCTAGGAATGCAAATCTTTGTTCCGAGAACTATACGTCGCTCTGGTGCATCTGGTAGTTTAAGGATTAATAAACCTTTACCATACTTAGCCAATCCCAGCGCCAATGAAATTCTGCGGTTGGTCGGTGCTCCTCTTCCTCAAACGTCACCAGACATGCGAATGCTGAGAGCGCATTAGGCCCTCCCCATAGGAAAGCATTGCTGTAATGCTTACCTATGCGGATTTGATGGATGCTGGATGTCCTCATGCATAGCATGAGGATGTCTACCGTCACTTATGCAACCAAAAGTCACCTAGCAAGCAGGGAGTGCCTCTAGTGGCTGTCTGACTCACAGTCACTAGAGGCTGTCATAGTTTTGCAAGGTAATCGTTGCAGTTTCTCTAAAACGGTAATGATTTCCATTGCAGGACTGAACGTGACAGAAGTGCCTATAGTGTCCCTTTAACTCGATCCCCCAGACAACTTATGTTCGACTTACATTTGTAAATCTGGTATTTCCAGGTACCCATGTATACAAAGGGTAACACAATATGAATAGTTATACAAACTCTTTAATGTTCCTCTGCATAAAGGTCAACTTCTTTATGTGAAATAACAATTGATGCTTAAAATATTAACAGAGGTGTGAATTTTCTGGAAATCAGAGTAAATGCCATATTTTGAACCAAACGTTCCACACTGAAAACATAACTGACAATGTGATTTTTTTGTTGTTTTTGTTTCCAATTCTTGTTTTCAATTTTTAACCAAATATTTAAACTTCATTCCTAATGCATGACACTCCGCACTTTAGTAAATGTCCCTGAATAAAATGTCTGCCTTCTCACGATCACCTAACTGGAAGTGCAGTAAATAGTGTTAAATGTCAGAGAGGAGCAGTATAAGAGGAGTTAGTGAGAATAATAGAAGCCCATGCAGTTTGCAGTCAGTGTGGGGAGCTGAGATTAGAGGAATAGAACTAGTAATACAGTTACAGGCTGGGCCTGGGCAGCCTCTCAGTTCATGATGCACTCACAGTCAGTAGCGGAGCTAAGAATTCACCCAGTAAATCCCGAGGCCGCTGTCCATTACAGCAGGTGCCATGGGAGAGACACACTGGCTGTGCACCGACACTCCACAGCCCCCAGACAAGGGTCAGTCATGTGCCCAGCAGGCTGACTCTCCTGTCTCTGAAGCACGAGGCGCCATTTTTACTGAGGGATAAATCCCAATTCCCACAAGGTGACTTCTTTCTACAGAGCCTCCTTTCTCCTTCTCTAGGTGGACATTGGAGGCGGGGGTGAACCTTGTTATAAGTACGCTCCCACACGCTGGAAAGTGCAAAATCCAGGAAACCAGCCCATCTCAAAGATGGCGGCCGGCGCACAGACATAGTCATGTGACTTGGGAAACCAAAGCCATTCCCTGCCATGTCAGGGAGTAACTGGGAGACGTGCGGCGAAGACTGTCGTGCGTGCCTGTAGTGACGTCACCACCGACACGCCCACACCTCGAGTGCACTGAGGGCAATGTTCTACTGACCGAACATAGAATACCGGGCAACTTCAGCAATGATCAATTACTTCCGATACCCATGTATTCGGGACGAATAGGGCCCGCCCTGCAGGACAGCGTGTGAGTATGGAGTGCATGGCTGCCAGGGCAGTCAGTGACTCGGAATGGTGTTTGGAGGGCACAGGGGTGGTAATGATAACACTGACCGCTTTCACTATCACTTGGCAATCCCACTCCTTTCCTCTCACCCAGGGACATTGTATGTTTCCTGTAATGAAGCATGCTCCATGTGTTTCCTCTATACTTGCGGCAGACAGAGAGGGTGTGATGTGAGACTGGGTAGTGAGAGGGTAACGTTTTATTGGGTTAGTTGTAGAGAATTTCCTCTTATGGAATAAAAAAAAAAAAAAGTAACTATAGCAGATCACCATGTCTTCCATTTTCACTTCTGTGTCATTCTGAAAGAGTGATTGCTAACCATGTCATTCCAGATGTGATGAGAACTTCATCACCTGTGACGCTCAGCCAAACTCCACAAACACTAGAAAACTTTAGAGAGCAGATGTTGGCTAACACTGATTTAAAGAAAGCCTGGGCAAACCATAGAGCCCAAATGTAAAACTGCAAATAAAGGATACCTTGCCATTCTAAAGGCTGGTAAAACATCATGGTAGTTGACGTTCTAAATCTAGAACCAGCCATGATCTAAACCCTGTCACTGATGCAGTATGTATGGAAAATTCTTATTGGAGATTAAAGGGGCATGCTTCGTAATATAACTGCTACAGCTTACTTGTGTGCTCATGCTCATAGGGTCACCATGTTAATTGTTTGATTAAAAAAAAAAAAACAGTCTCTTACCTGTGCGGAGGGACCATCCTCATCTCAGCCGCATTGATAATGCACAGTTAAATTGGCTTGTCACCTCACCAAAAATTAGATAGTTTCTTTATGAAATACTCATGTTAACTGCGTTGGAATTTCATTCAAATTACAACACAGTCAGAACATACCTAAAGACAAAGTGGGCACTAGTTTGTTTTATGCTAAGCCGAAAGTTGTCACAAAGGCAGAGCTTCAGCTGTCAAGTTCTGTCAATTCTCCAAACTAGAATCAGGCTTGTTCTCTAAGACTGCGAGACTTGCAGGGTTATTCGACAAATGTGAATTGCCATGATTTCTAAGTGAATTTAAAAATTTAGGTCAAAATTGCCAAATAAGAAAAATTCTCACAGTCAATTATATTTTCAATTCGGATATTTTGGCTTTAAATTTGAAATTAACTTGGAAAAATCCTACTGATCCTAACCTATTTGTTTTGGTCGTCGAGTGCCTGGAACTCTGAGGTGGCCACTCGACAACCCGAACACCGGTCAAAAAATACGGATGCCTGCTTCTGTTGCTGCAAACTAGGAGAACCCGGTTCGACGTTTTGGTCAACTAAAATTACCGAACCATTACTATAGTATGAGCCAGGGGATTCATTCCCCTTTTTGATGGTTTCACTGATTTACGTTCGTATGAAAACTCCCGAACTAAACCAACCACTACAGCTAAAATCATGGCACTATTTCTGGACAGACTTATTCAGAGCGCTTGGTTAAATCCTTCAACCCATGGCGATTCGACTGTGTTCGTGGGATCTGAGCACTTTTCGGATATATTGGGTGCTCAGATCCAAGCTCTCTGGAGATATGTAGACTATGGGGGTTCGTTTATGCGAAATATGATTTTATGTATTTTAAAGTGTTTTGGTGAATTGTATAACAGTGCGTTCTTTTCTGTACCTGGAGATAATTGAGTTTACTACAGCCCCTTAACCCAATTATCTCCAGGATAGAAAGGGGGAATTAGACTGTTTGTGTGGGAGTGTTTTACATTATACCTGTATGCTGCTTGGTTATTGTAATTGTGTCCCTGTCCCCAACAAGGTCCATGTGAGAGTATACCTTGCTTAGGGACTTGCACTAAAGGCCAAGCTGTGGCCTCCATTAAACAGATCGTTTTGCCCCTTTCATGAAGTCTTGGCTCATGTTTGGGGGATTGGGATTTGGGGGATCACTACACCTTGTGTTACACTTGGATTTCGGGAGATTTCTGCACGGATATACTCAGCTGGAGTATAGGGGATCCGTTACAGAAGTATATCGTAAAGGTAGAATCAGTTTCGTCCAAAGAGCCATTCTCAGCCAATCAGCATATTCCAAAGTGGATGGAAGTAATAGGGATGATGTGGAAGTGTTAAGTGTGAATTATCAATGAGGCTAAGATGGGTCTTGTCTCCAGACACTGGAAAGACCATTACTTTTATAAAACCATTATTACAGGTCATACTAATGTTTAATCTGTACTTTAATAAGATTACCTTTTACATTTCACTTCAGATTTTTCTGTTCTAAATCGTTTACAGTAAAAGTAACGATTTGTTGCATGCACTTAATTTTAAGTAATTATATATAAATTAAAATAATATCACAATTTTCAGCACAAATATTACTACAAACAAAAAGCAAATTTGAAATGTGAGTGAGCAAAGCAAAATATTTCAAATACTGTTTCTGGGTTCGTAACTTCTCGTTCACACCCGGCTGTCGGGGTGTTTGCTGTATTTGTCTATAATCACCTTACTTTAGCATGTGTTGTGTGTCTGACCTAGTAAGAAAGCAATCTGTTAACAATAGCACAATGAACAGGCACAAACAAAATACCATAGTCATAGTGTACAATGTAGGGAGAGGATTGGTTTAAAGCTAGGTAGGAGGAGACACAAACTGGGTGAAATGTGAAGGTCAGCATTTTGAAGAACCACAATTTATTTTCTAAGGAAAAGTCTGTGCTTGTACAGACTTATTTTGCAAGCTGAGATAGAACTACATGATCCATGGTGCTCTGTGATCATCCTAAAAGAAAACAAAGCTGTGGATGCCTGAATAGTACTCTCTCCAAACATGCTCTGCTGTTTTTTGGTTTTTTTTTGTTGTGCTTTAAAACACAGTTGTCTGCTCACAAAATATTAAATTAAAAACAAAATAGAAATATTGCGATTTAATTAGCAGAGTTGAACACATTCTGCGAATTGGCTGAAGTCGCCACCTGCCTTTATTAGTCTGGAATTTGGAGTATGGTTGTCTATTCACCACATATAACCGTTTAGTTAATCGTATTGGTGTACCCCATTTTCTTCATGTATCCAGATTGTAAATTATAATATACGCTTGCTAATTTGCTATGATGTAAAGAGCATTCTAAATATACAGTGGGACCTCGGTTTACAAACGCCTCGGTTAACATAATTTTCGGTTTACAAATGAAAATCCATTGAAGATAATGCCTCGGTTTACAAAATTTGTTTTGCAATACAAAGCAAGTTTCACCAGGATGTATTGCACCTGGGAGGTTTATAGCGCTGAGTGTGGAGGTGGTGGAGTGGCTTTTGCATTGCGTTTTGGAGCCATTCTGGAAATTGTTTGCAGTTGTTTTGGTGCATTTCTCAAGCTGTGGAAAGGTAGGGAGCTGAGCTTTGTCGTTTGCATGCCTTTTATTGTGTGTTCTGCATTGTGGGTTGGTTTCCATGCCAGCTCATTTTGACTTTTTTCTGACCTCCAGAATGGATTAATTGGTTTTCAATGCATTCCTATGCGAAACCGCCTTTCGGTTTACAAATTTTTTTCGCAATAAGAAACGTCCCGGAGAACGCCTTAAATTCGTAAACCGAGGTCCCACTGTAAATGTGTGTGTGTGTGTGTAATGTAGTGACTTGCCTTTTTTTTTTTTATATATAAAGGTTGTAGGTTCATGTTTTATCAGTACTTATTACACTGAACAAAATTATAAACGCAACACTTTTGTTTTTGCCCCCATTTTTCATGAGCTGAACTCAAAAATCTAAGACTTTTTTTCTATGTATACAAAAGGCCTATTTCTGTCAAATATTGTTTTACTGTAGAGGGGATATCCGGGGTGGGAGGGGGGATCCGAAAACCAGTCCGTATCTGGTGTGGCCACCATTTGCCTCCCGCAGTGCAACACATCACCTTCGCATAGAGTTGTTCAAGTTGTTGATTGTGGTATGTTGGACCACTTCTCTTCAATTGCTGTGCGAAGTTGCTGGATATTGGCAGGACAAGGAACACGCTGTCATATATACGCCGATCCAGAGCATCCCAAACATGCTCAATGGGTGACATGTCCGGTGAGTATGCTGGCCATGCAAGAACTGGGATGTTTTCAGCTTCCAGGAATTGTGTACAGATCCTTGCAACATGGGGCCGTGCATTATCATGCTGCAACATGAGGTGATGGTCGTGGATGAATGGCACAACAATGGGCCTCAGAATCTCGTCATGGTATCTCTGTGCGTTCAAAGTGCCTTCAATAAAATGCACCTATATTCGTTGTCCATAACATACGCCTGCTCATACCATAACTCCACCACCACCATGGGCCACTCGATCCACAACGTCGACATCAGTAAACCGCTCACCCACACGATGCCATACACACTGTCAGCAATCACGATGCCATACACACTGTCAGCAATCTGCCCTGTACAGTGAAAACCGTGATTCATCCGTGAAGAGAAAACCTCTCCAAAGTGCCAGACGCCATGGAATGTGAGCATTTGCCCACCCAAGTCGGTTACAACGACAAAGTGTAGCTAGGTCGAGACCCCGATGAGGACAACGAGCATGCAGTTGAGCTTCTCTGAGACGGTTTCTGACTGTTTGTGCAGAAATTCTTTGGTTATGCAAACCGATTGTTGCAGCAGCTATCTGGGTGGCTGGTCTTGGACGATCTTGGAGGTGAATATGCTGGATGTGGAGGTCCTGGGTTGTGAGGCCGGTTGGATGTACTGCTAAATTCTCTGAAATGTCTCTGGAGACGGCATATGGTAGAGAAATAAACATTCAATTCACGGGCAACAGCGCTGGTGGATACTCCTGCAGTCAGCATGCCAATTACACGCTACCTCAAAACTTGCGACATCTGTAGCATTGTGCTGTGTGATAAAACTGCACATTTTAGAGTGGCCTTTTATTGTGGCCAGCCTAAGGCACACCTGTGCAATAATCATGCTGTCTAATCGGCATCTTGATATGCCACAACTGTGAGGTGGATGGATTATCTCGTCAAAGGAGAAGTGCTCATTAACCTAGATTTAGACAGATTTGTGAACAATATTTGCAAGAAATAGGCCTTTTGTGTACATAGAAAAAGTCTTAGATCTTTGAGTTCAGCTCATGAAAAATGGGGGCAAAAACAAGTGTTACGTTTATAATTTTGTTCATTGTGCATATGTACATGAAGGCTGAGTTTGGGTTGTGTTATGGAAGTATACTGTGGTAGAGAATAGTGTATGCTGAATTTAATGCCCCACTGTAATTGATGACTGTTTAGTTTTCCATTCCGTGAATAGCATGTTTTGTCTCTTGACTGTACAGAGCTGTTATGTCAGACACCTAGTGTGAGTTACAAGCTATCACTTTGTTGCTTTTGCCAGTGCTTGTCTATTCTGGAATAGTTACATTGAATTGTTTTGTATTCCTTGGCTTACCTTTTATATAGAAACATTCTAACTCTTGCATCAAGTTGCTCATTTTTCACCAGGTACTCACCCCAAAGCAGCAGCTTGGAAACTACTGGAGGAAATACTGATTTGTAACATTTACTTGGATAACTTTATATTTGGTTTATTTGATTCTGTTTCACTCCCAACCATCTTTGGAACATACATAACTTGAAATATATTTTTTAATCCAGAAAGCATACACTTTTTAAACAAATATACAAACCAAAATACAGCAAAAACTTTGAAAGGTATATAATAAAATATTTATAAACTTGGTCAGATTGCATTGTTGAGCATGACTCTCAGCTAGGTGAGTTTCCTAATTTATTTATTTTTTTTCTTATTTTTTACAGATGTGACGTCTGCCAATGGGCCTGAGCAAGCTCGATGTACTGTACAGGCGGCTGCTTCTCACTAAATTTTTCATCCGTGGATGGGGGAACCCAGAACACCTTAAAAGGTTTTTTTCAGACAGAAATTCTAAAAATGTGCTACTTTTTTGATGTGTAAATAAATACTAACTGATTTAATTATTGGTCAAGCTGTGAATTGCATAATGTTTCGGGGAATTTAGCTAGCATCTTTGCATTAATACTATAAAGTTTTTATGTTACCTGAATATTGTATGACATTATGTCCTAAACTCAGACATCCACAAGAGGTGCTTCTGATGAAATAGCAGAGTAATAATCTCAGATGGCTTCATGGACACAATCTTATTGCAGCAGTACGGCATTATATAGTGTGTGCTCATTACATAACTATGCACATTTTCCTATGGTAATGCTTTGGATTGGCTTAGATCATCAAGCTTGATGATCTCAGCCAAAGAGGTAGGACCGCAGCGCAGAGACCAACGTTGAGGGGGAAAAAGTAAGTAAAAATGCATTTTAACATTGTTCAAGAGGCACTATAGCATTATGAATACATATTTGTGTTTCTTTAACATTTGAAATACTATGCTGCTAGCCAGACCTATTAACCAGGGGTGATTTCCTTCTCTCTAGTGGGTAGTGCCAAGTGGAATCCCTGCTTGGAAAACATAACCATCTTTTCACAATGCTCAGGGGTTGGCAACCTTTGCCATTTCATATATTGTGGATTACATCCTACCATAATTTGAAAATGCTTACTGCCTTAAGAGGCAATACTCTTAGTACTACACTAAGCTGCAGTGGCTTGTTTAGGCATCTCAAATAACGTCATGTAGTCAAAAAAAAAAAAAAAAGAGTATATGGTTTGAATTCTTTGTAAGTGCTAAGGATATCTACTGTAAATATATTGTATCTAAGTTTGGGAATGCCACATTAGTGCTTTCATACATGTAAAAATATTAAATTTGTTTGTAGACTATTTGAGTTTCGGAAGATTATTGGAAACCGAGAGAAATGCCAGCACTTGGTGCCAAAAGACTACCCGGTGTACATTGACAAGGTACTACAAGTGCATTTTTGTCAATTTTGTTTTGTACATTATACTGAGATACTTTATATCAAGCCCAATAAGGGATCTTTTTGGATGTTACTTTGTGCTGTGTCTTTATTTTTGAATTAGATTTTCAGCAATCAAATTTATAGTGTGTATTTATCTATTGTAGGTTGAAGATCAAACAGACTGCAGGATTCTTGATGGGTACTTCACGTCTCCACTGGTTCATTATGTACCAGATGTCATGCCAGCTGAAACCGTTACTGCAAGGTAAGGATCATTATCCACTTGATTTGTCTATGATGCATATTACAAGTCCCAACCTCCTTTAAGAGACTGTATCACAGTTTGCTGTTGGGGAGCCAGAGGGGGTCAGCATGCTTGCTTTGTTCTACTGGTAGTTACAACTCAAAAAAATTATTTGAGCTATAAGGAGGCCAGTGCCCACTTAAATTGGCAGCAGTTCCATATACATTTTCTGATGAGAGGAACTGCTGGTGAATGTTTGCCTCACACATATCCTATAAACCACTGCTAAGACAATGTCAATGGTCCTTTAAAACAATGGGAAAGCTCAAATTTACTAGGAGAAAATTGTATCTGTTTGAGTTATTCACTAAAGTGAGAATTGTCGAGAATTCAAAGTGAACGTCTACCTTTACACCAAAATAGCTGAACTGGAAGCACAGCTGACTAAGATTTTTCCAATTGTGCCATTTCACTTTAAATTCACATTATTTGCCTAAAAGTTCTCTCTCTTTTACTAAATAACCCTGCTATAGCAGAACTTGCTACAAGGAACTTGAAACCCTGCTGATTTACAGAAATCTAGATTTGCTTTTTTTGCCTTTTATATTTTTAGTACACGTTAAAAAGGTGGCCACCTTCATGTTGAAATTTCCTTGTAAAAACCATCTAGATAGTGTATGTGCTGTTGGTCAAAGTATAAATATGCCTAGTTTTACAAACCCACAACTGGACGGTACTGCTGCCTTGTTTTTACCACTTTGCACCTGGAGGACCAAGTCTCTTGGCACATCATCTGGGGAACGTGTGGACTTTGGTACTCTGAAGAATCTATCGATTCCCACCGTTTTGCCCTGTCTTGGGGTAAGTGAAGCTACCAATAAGCGCCTCAGCCATGGGTACCTCTTCCGAGATGCCCCTTATTTTGATGCTGTTTTTCCACTTCCAGTCTTCAATGGCAGTGAAGCGGTGGTCACTCAGCTCGCTTTGCTGTTGGAGTCCCATGCCTGCTTTCTGCAACATGGTGATCTGTGATGCTGGTTCACTGGATGCAGCCTCCACCGTCGTCAGCCTGCCCGAAATGCCCTGCTAATCTGCACAGACTAATGCTACATCCGTCTGGATACTCTTCTGGAGGTCTGCCAGAAGTAGTTTTAGCACTTCAGTAGTCACCGGAGAGTTGTCTTGTCCAGTGTTCTTCAGTGCTGGGCATGGGGTTACAGGGAGATCTTCCACCATGTTAGGCCTCACCGAGCCATGTGCCTGCCTCAGCATGTATTCAATATTTAAGCCCATTTGGGTTTAATTTTCTTAGTTTTGCATCCCATTATGTTTCCCCTCGCCCGTGGGTGTGTTCCTTGCCATTTTTGTACCTGTTTTAGGGTCTCTCAAGGGGTTTATACAGTGTAATTATTCAGAGCTCTGTATGTGTGCAGCCATTCAGCTCGGCTGTTCGGCTCCGCCCCCTTACTTGAATTTATCTTGAATTAATTCTATATACATTTTTCTTTTGTTTGGCAGGTTCCAATTCATAGTCCCCAAAGAATGGAAGAGCAAATACAGACCAGTCTGTATCCATTTGGCTGGCACAGGAGATCATGTAAGTATAGCGCTTGTACATGAGAGGCCATTATTCGAGTAACCGCACACATAGACTGCTCTTTTCCCCAAACTCAATCCAGGGTTATATTTCATGCTCTTAACCCTTAAAGGACGAATGACCGTTATTCTGTCATGGTTGTCATATTTTTAAGGACTCATGACACCGTTACATAGCTGAAAAGAGACTTGCGTCCATCAAGTTCAGCCTTCCTCACATATCTTTTTTGCTGTTGATCCATTATTTAGTTATAAAGTTTTTTTTTATCTGCAGGGACCATTTTGATAGCTGGGACTCCCCTCTGTCAGCTGCGGGTCATGCTACGTGATAAAAGCTGTGTGCATCAGCAAGAGTACCCTTCTGCTGATAGTCGCATTCTAACTCCATTGTCTCAAGGGTTAGGGTTCACCTTAATGTTTCAGGTTATGGTTTTTATTAGTGGTTAGAGCTCTAGTTAATGTTTATGGTTATAGTTACAGTTAGGAATAGTGTTAGTATTTAGGGTTTAGCTAGTATTCCTGGTTAGTGTTACGGTAAGGGTCAGAACTATTGTTATCATTAGGGTTATAAATGTTATAATTGGTGTTGGCGTTATAGAGCCGCCTTCACATTTCTCATTAAAAAAAAAACACAAAAAAAAACATGCAGTCTACAGGTAACTATTTGACCCTGCTTTAAACTTTTTGCAAAGGTATACACTGGGGTTTTGTTGTACTTGTGAGGTGTAGCTGAGTTGAGGGAACTTTGCTGTAGCAGTACACAGAAATTTAAAACTTCACAGCAACATTTTAAAAAGTATTTTGCTTTTCCTCTCCCTTTGAATAATTTTGCTCTACTGCCCTTGAAGATTCACGAATATATCTGTTTTGTGGTTTTTCTTTTTCTTTGGGGAAGCTTAAACCTCTTTTTGTATATTCTACCCATAAACAGTATTACTGGAGAAGACGAACTTTAATGGCACGTCCTATGCTCAAAGAGGCTGGTATGGCGTCCCTTTTATTAGAAAATCCATATTATATCCTTTTTAAAATAAATCTTGTGTAAATGTTGTTCAGCAACTAACCTATGTGTCTTTAAAGACCCGACTTCCTGTTTTCTTACTTTAACAGCACTCTAGGCAACATAACACTGCATCTCTGAATATTGGCTGTGTTTGTTAGAGGCCAAACCAATTGATTCCACAAAATGGCAATTTTTACATTGCTGAGCTAAAACTACAGGTCTATTGCATCCAGAGTACTTCATCTGGGTGCCTTTAGTTGTCTTTTAATTAGTGATTTGACAACATAACTGAGCTGTCCACAGCACCTGGAGAATGCTGTCTCCTCCTCTGAATGATTAATGCAAAATGTAAATGTCTGTATTATCTGTCAGTGGTGATTGGCTGAGGATGCTGGTGTAACCCATTCCTAGTATTGTAAAATAATCCTTGCGGTCCAGAAAAGACAAAATTCGTAACACAAAAGTGTACATTCTGCATTATCAGTTTTGGTAAGCAGCGAACAGCCTCTGACAGTACTGTATAGAGCCCAATTATTATTTTTTTTTTGTCAAACCTCTTCTAAATGGTTTAACAGAAAACTGTAGGCATTGCCCAAAGGGTCTTAGGAATTTATCCACTGCACAGAGCTGTAGTAGTTATTTTGCTTAAAGTGCACTTTAAGGGGGAGCTGTCACTTCTCAGAAATTCAGTACAGACAAGGCAAATATTGTAGATGAGGAGAAGAAATAGAAGTCTAGAGTGTGCCTTTCTTCGTGGATATTTGTGTGTGTGTGTATATAGATGTATAAATATATAATGCCAAAATACCAGAGTATTAATATTTCAAAGACAAGCTTTTGAGAGCTTTCCTCTCTTCCTCAGGTCTGAAGCAATGCTAATCAATCTGATAGTTTAACACTTAAAACAACTGATGTTAGAGAACACACATCTTAATAACCAAAATATACCTATACAAAGACATGGAATATTCTTCCTTCCCTGCCAGATATTTTTTAAACATTAGTTACATGTTTTTTTCTTTGTACCTTTCAAGCAAAACATTATATAGGATGACAAATCGTACCATTTATAAAATATACTGATCCCAGCAAGTGTATGGAGGCTGTTGCCTGGTACGAAGTACACTTCTGTTCTTTGATACAAAATGTTCTTTCATGTAGGAGGTAGTTATATATCACAAGATTTTGCCAAACAAGTTAAAGCTAAGCTCTGTTGAGTTAACTGAACACCTATCTAAAAACATAATATAGTTAAAAGGTTTATGCTGTTTGGGGGGTGCGGGTTGAAAACAAACCTTGTCAGTCTCTGTAGGTCAACGAAATGAGACAAACCTAACAGTGTTATGGTCACAATAACTAAGTATTGTATAAACATGTTTCAATTTAACTTTTAAACCGTATTGATTTCTTGTCCATTTTCTATTACATTGTTTTTCTTTTTTGTATTTTGTATTGTACTTTAAAATGTGAACCACGGATAATTGACAAGGGGTTTCTAGACTAAAGTAATCAGAACTGCAAAATTGGTAGACTTGCAGGATATTTCCAAATTAATTATTTTGGCTTTAAATGTGCAATGTCATTGTGTTTGAGGTATGAATTGTGAAATATTCTGTTAGCCAACAGATATGCATGTCCAGTCTGGCCTTCTCACAAAAACAAGATTGTGACTTTTCCGTACTTGCAGTGCTAACAGAGGCCATTTAGAAAACATAAATAAGACTAATTTAGTAGCCTGTGCTTGTTCCTTAACTTTCCAATTTTTTACATGGCTGCAGAAAGCCAAAGGACCAACTGTAAGTATTTTGCTACTGTTTATCAGGTTTCCAATTACAAGAACTTTATATGTTCTAGAATTAAACGTTTAGATCTAAATTATAATCTAGCCGTAACTGTTTATTGTGTTACTTTACATTCATTTAGTGCAAATCGGTGTAGGAGACAGAGTAATTTTATTTGGTAGTACTTGCATGTTGCATGTTTAGAAAATCATTGTTTACTTTATACACATTTAAAAAAACATGGAAACATTTTTCACAGTGTATGCACTTTTAAAGCTTCCAAGTGGAAATTAAAATTAGATGTGCAATATGAATATTAATAGCTTCTCATCAAGAAAAAAAAAATGACTGAGATATACAAAGTTGGACAAAACTGATACTACTAAAGCAAAATGAAAACGGCTGCTTGAGCAGTATTGCAAAAAAACGGAAGTGCCCAACAGACCCAGGCAAGTTCATTCTGTTTAAAAACAGTTTGACACCTTACTATGGGACATGGCGAGGAAATACTTGCAGGATAACCACTACAGCACGTAGAAGGAAAAAAAACAAAAAACAACCCCACAACTGGGTAATACTTAAATCCTTGACTGGTAGGGGTGCCATGAGGACTGGTTTGTGAACCATTAGTATATAGTATATTCTGCTTCATAGAATTTACAACAGACATGAGTGGGATGTAGACAGAGAACATCATACATGTGACATCACCAACATTTTATTTTTGCCCTCAAAAGGAGATCAAGTTTAAAGAATGTGTCTGACCTGTTTGTAATGGGAGGAGCCCTGGTGCTAGAGTCTGCTGCCTTGCTACACTGGCTGGAGAGGGAAGGATATGGGCCCCTAGGAATGACTGGTATATCAATGGGAGGCCATGTAAGTAATGTGGCATTGGTCTTCTATGTCATCAGTACTCAGCTATTCTATAATCAACCTTTATATAGTGCCAGCATATTTTACTGTACAAGAGGGGAACTTAAAGTTAAATGAAAATTAGAGGGATAGCCAAAGTACCATATCCGCTAGACTTGTGCATTAAAACTTTTCAGGTAGTACCAAAAAAATAAATTATTTTTAATGAACGCCCAAACTAATCTATACGTCCAGGATTTACTTGTGTACAACTCTACAACTTATGCAAGGTGTATATATAAATCAATCTCTTTCTTGTCATCCATATAGATGTGTTTACATTTTGACACCAATAATTAGCTTTGAGTATTTATAGCATGACAGACTGTCATTGCCACTGTCAAGCTTTTCAAAAGATTGAATATTTTTGGATACACTTTTTTAATATACATATATATTTTTAAATAATTATTTTTTCCTCCATTATCTTTAGCTTTGAGTGGGGAAAAAAGTTTTGGTTGGTTTCCTGCAATGTAAACCCACCCCCCCTAACTACTCCTAAAAAGATGTAAATATGGAGAAAGCACAGCCCGACTAGGAGGCCAAAACCTATCAAATGCATTTAAGTTGTGCTGGTGCTTGAAGTGTGCTTTTTGTCTTCTTTAAAAACATTAAATGATAAACGTATTCATTCCAGCTGAAAAGTATTTCTTCACAAATAAAATGATCTGCACTTGATGTACTGAATACATCCAGGATTTACATTTGGAGTCTTATTCATTAAATACATTTTGGGAGTTTCGATTCAGTTCGGGTGCAGAGTAAAAGGCATTTTATTCATTCATAGCAGCTGAACCAGATTAATGCGCAAGTCTGTTAAATGCTGCAGACATAAGTGTGTGTCCTCCTCACAAATGATGAATTATGTGTTTATTTTTTGTTACCGTGTCCTATTTGTAGATGGCTTCATTAGCAGTAACGAATTGGCCTAAACCAATTCCACTAGTTCCTTGTCTTTCCTGGTCAACAGCTTCTGGAGTCTTCACAACGGTAACTAAACTCAAATATATGCTTTTATATTACTTTAGTACTCAGGTCAGCATTTGGGATGAAATAAAATGAACTGTGAACATAAATTCTATAGGTAGTATTTTAACAATGTCTTTCATTTGAAAATGTATTCACTCATGCAGTTTAATTTGCAAAATCTCCATTCATTTCTATACACTCAAAACGCATTTGTTTGACATTTTGAATTTTTTTTTTTTTCAAGAAAATACCTTGTCTCAACATTTGTCTTTGTAGTGGGCGTTAAAGTATAGCATTGTACCAACACAAAAGGGAGTTAAGTTATATTATGACACTGATGGCTAACTTCGGCCACTTCAGCTGTTCTAGAACGTTCTTCCTTTGATGCTTGCCTATCTCTTTGGCAGTTCTATGGATTAGACTTGTAACCTTTCTCATCTGGTCTTTTTTATATGTATATTTAAAGGGAGTTTTAAGTAAAGCTGTTAACTGGAGAGAGCTGGAAAAGCAATACTGCACACAGTCAATCTATGAAGAGGAGATTATACATATGCTCGAATACTGTGGGGTATGTATATAAAATGCTAAACTGCTCATAAAAAAATCTGATTTGTGTTTATTCACAAATAAAATGATCTGCACTTGATGTACTCAATACATCCAGGATTTACATTTGGAGTCTTATTCATTAAATACATTTTGGGAGTTTCGATTCAGTTCGGGTGCAGAGTAAAAGGCATTTTATTCATTCATAGCAGCTGAATAGATCTTATTGTAAGTACTTCATATGATATCAGTAATGAAAATCCTGTGTGTAACTTACAGCAGTGCCCCCACTATCTACTTGTGAGAGCCACTGAACGTTGCCATTTAATGTTTTTAAAAAGTATTTTGAATAAGGAGTGTTTAATTAAAAATGACTTAAAGGAAATTGTTCTTTACCAGGATTTTTATTATCTTTACTTCTCCCAATATTTTGCAGATATGCATTTGTGGGGTTTGAAAAACAAATGTAGAAATCCACACCACTCTATTCTGCAGCTGAGTGCCTCCACTGTAGCTCCCAGTCAATCATTGAAATAAACTCTGTTTGTGCCTGACCGTCAACATAGAGAGAATACTGAGAAACAAACTTAATAAAACAATGTTTCTATTTCTCCTCCTCACTTGCAGTGTTTGCTCTAGCTTTGCCTTATCTGAACTGGATTATTAAATGAACCATCCAAGCACCAAAACCACTACAGCCTACTTCAGTGATCATTGTGCAAAGAATGCACCGGCAACCCCCATTTAAGTAGTCTATTCATTTGCTAAAGGCTTGACTACTTACCTGGAGTGTGCTGACCACCGCTCCCTTGCCTTTCTAATTCCACGCTCTGTAGTGGTTTTGGTACTAGGAGTGCTTTGGCTCTGTAACCAATGTAAGTAGCCAATTGTTTGCTAATGGTTCGACTTTTTACTCTGAGAACTGGAAATTCTCTGCGTGCGCTAAACCCAGTGGTGCAGGGCTTAGATCATTGGTTGAGAGCGATCAGCTTACACTCTCAGCCTAGGAGTTGGCACTGGTAACAGAAAATTCTAGCAGGATTTTTCGGGTCTCCGTAGCAAAAGAGGAGAATCAGGTAGAAGTGTTTAGCAGACCCAACATGAAAAACAAAGACATTTTGGAGTGCATATGTTCAATTTCATGAATGATGTTTATGCAACCCTAGTCACACCTTCCTGAATGTGACTTGCACAACCTCTCCTGAGATTTATAAACGTGATATAAACACAGTGGGGGAGATTTCCCAAAGTGTAGAATGGAGCTGTTACCAATGAAATATTTATATCCTTGGGATTTACAGCATTGCTTTACTTTAATAGCAGCAACACTTTACTGACATGTCATGTTTTAAATGTTGCAGTTGGTTTGCCAGAACAGTTCCTTCCTAACATTTTATCTTTTCAGACAGATTCCTTCAAAATGGGACAAGAGTTTGTAAAGAATTTTCCAAGCAGTGTTGACAGCCTGACCCACATAAATTTTGCCTCCAAACTTTTCCGCCTTAACAGAAAAAGGGAACCAATACCAAATGATCCTGTTCAGCCTTTCCAGACCAGCAACAATGCCAATGGAATCTTATTCCAAGGGGATTCTAAGATGTCATATGTTAACCAAGCACTGTCTGGGGGGAAAGAGAGCCTTACAAAAGCAATGGAAAAGGGGCAGGCACGAAGAGACGAGAAGAGGAGGGCTGAAACTCTGCAAAATGAGTCTCTGTTGTTCATGAAAGGTGTCATGGATGAATGTACACACGTTGCCAATTTTTCAGGTATGATTCTCTTTGAAAACCGCCAAGTTGGACACAAACCTTTTCTGAATGGAAAATACTGTGGGAATTGAAATTCATAATAGTGTTATCTGTATTTTTTCTTTATTAAAATTAAAGGGACACTATAGTCACTTGAAAAGATGTAGCTTAATGAAGCAGTTTGGGTGTATAGAGAATGCCTCTGAAGTCTCACTGCTCAGTTCTCTGCCATTTAGTAAAATAACTTTTGTTTCTGTTTAAGCAGCCTGCATGATAACAAAATGGTTTAAATTTTATTTTTTTCCCAACATTGTGTGTTTATTGGTTTGGTATTTTTGGCATAGTGTTAATCGTTACAGAAAGGAAACGTTGCACAGGTTAGTACACATATATTTGCATTATGAGTCACCAGGTATGCAAATTCTGAATGCTTTAGACTTTTCCATGGTTATACATTTGATCATTACATTGTATAGGCGTTAACACTGTGGCCCATTTGTTCGAGTGCCCCTCTGTTTGTTTATTCAAGGTTTTTATATGTGGGTGCTTCCAGCTGGTAGAGGAGTCAATTCGTGGCTCTATGGCCTTTATTACCAAGAGTCAAAATATTGATATGGAGAACATAACGTACCAAAAACGGAACTATAGGAAGTTAAAAAATAAATAAACGAAAAGGAAGAAATATACCATGATGGTAGCTATTAATGATGGGTGTAGGACAGGGCTCGACAAATCCCAGGCGCCAGATCGCCACGGCAACTAGAAATTTCTGACGGCGGCGCATAGAGGTGTGCGGCCGCCCTGAGGAGCATGGAAGAGGCGGCCGCCCGCGGGAGCTGTACTCTGTTTGCAGAAGTATTTATTCTTGGAGCCACGAGTTCCACATTTTGCAGAAATGTTTGGAAGTTTTGTGTATTTTTGCTGAGATTCTGTCCATTTCCATTGCTTCCTTTGTTTTGTGAATGACTGATCGTATTGGTATGTTTGGTGAACCCCAAATCTCTGCTATAGCTCTTCTTGCTGCCAGGGCTGTTCTGTTTGCCAATTTGTTTTGGGCTCTGGTTAATGGGTCCCAGAGTTTGGAGAGGAACCAAATCCATGGGACGAGTGGGATGGTAATTTGTAGGAGGTCCGAGATCAGTTTGGCAACTTCTGCCCATTATGGGATCAGTTTGGGGTAGTGCCACCAGAGGTGTATATATGTTTCCCTGTGTCCGCATTGTTTCCAGCAGTTAGACCTTCCCATTCGGTATAGACTTATGGGTGTCAAGAACCATCTGAGCATGGTCTTGTAGGCCTGCTCCTTAAAATTGTTTAATTTTTAATCTGATGTAACTTCCTTTAAATTTTATTTTTTTTTCCAACTCCTGCTCTGTAAATTGAAATTAAATCATACACAGGAGGCTCCTACAAGGTCTAGCAAGCCATCAACAGAGCAGGAGATGATAAATTGCAAATTAAACAAAATTTGTAATAAAGTATAAACAGTAGACGACTCTTTACAGGAAGTGTTTAGGAAGGCTGTACAATTTACATGCAAGGAGTTGTGACTAGGGCTGTATAAACAAAGTGATTTAACGCCTAAATGGCAGAAAATGGAGCAGTGAGACTGCAGGGGCATGATGTCAAGCTAAAATTGTTTTGGTGACTATACTGTCTCTTTTAATACTGTATGATATTTTATGTTAAATGTCTTGAAATATTCACAACATGATGGGGGGAAAAACAGCTGAAATAGAGATGCATAACAATTACAAACCATATGCCTTTTACAAAAGATCTGAATGTGTAAGTGATAACTATAACATTTACATTACACATCAAACAGTTACATTACACATCAAACAGTTAGGCCGCAGGCTTCCACAAACTGCGGCACTCCATATGTTGCTGAACTACAACTCCCATGATTCTCAGTCTATTTAATTCATATAATCATGGGAGTTGTAGTTCAGCAACATCTGGAGGGCCGGAGATCAGAGAAGCCTGCGGCCTAAGTGTCTAATGTAAATGTCTAATGTAAATGTTTGTTATATTATAGAGCTCACTTACTCAAATTCAGATATTTTGTAAAAGGCATATGGTTTGTAATTGCTATGCATCTATATTTTCTTTTCTTTTTTTTTTTGCATTTTGTTGGTATAAGTCGCTTCTATATGCACCCACTGGGGGGGTTCTAGGGTTACTGCTAACCACTAGTACCTGGCTCAAGATGGCTGCTTTGTAGTAGTGTGTGATATTAGGTAAACCCATGCCTCCCTTTTGGAATGGTTTATAGAGGGTGGATTTTGCTATTCTGGGCCTGGTGTTGTACCAGACAAAGGAACTCTCTAACCTCTGCACCTCACGTAAGTAGCTATTGGGTACTGCCAGTGGGATAGTTCTGAATAAGTATTGTAGTCTCAGTAGAAGTAGCATTTTTGTTGCTGCTATTCTGCCCATCCATGATATGAATTTCCCTTTCCAACTGTGTATTAAGGTTTTCACCTCCGTGAGCAGCGGGTAATAGTTGGCTTTGTGCCAAGTTTTGTGTCAGATTTATCCCTAGGAATTTAATGTTGTCTGTACGCTATTCATAAGCAAATGTCTCTTTTAGGTGGTTGAGCGTTGTCTGTGGGAGGTTAATTCCCATCGTGTCTTGGTTATATTTAATTTGTAATAAGAGCAATTGCCATACCGTTGGATCAGATTGTGTAATGCCGGTAGTGAGGTGTGTGGGTTTTGTAGTGTGAGGAAGATGTCGTCTGCGAATAGTGTAAGTTTGTATTCTCTGTTCTTAACCCTGATTCCCTGTATATTGGTATTATTCCTGATCAGTTGTGTGAGGGGTTCCAGGGCTAGTATGTATTGTCACCCTAACCTGACCAGGGAGCCGCGCTGAGTCCACCGATGCCTTTCTTTCAACCCGCAAAGGTGCACAAGCAGCGGCGCCGATCTAGGACCTCCTACTCACCTGCCCTCGCTAGTGCCCTGCCCTCGCTAGTTGGGAAACACTCCTCCATGACTTCGAAGACCCGGACGAACCGGGCTGGGGCTCCGTGCCTCCACCTGAGCACACAACAGCCATGGGGCGCTGCTCACAAAAACCTGGGGCTGGGATCCCACCAGACAATCGGGATATTGGGACCATGCTGCAGAGGCAAGTACCTCACAAGATGGCGCCTGCAGAGGGCATCCACAGCACACTCACCAGCACCCCAGAGGAGGAAACAGGAGCACAGACACCCACAGCTTCCCAAACTGACCAATCCACTCACATGGACACCACAGACAGGTCAGCACCTACCCTAAACATGACCTACAGCTCCTACTCCAGGATATCCACAAAATGCTGGCAGCAGACACTAATATCATCAAAGCAGATGTGAAAAAAGTCACAAGCAGAGTTCAGAATGCAGAGGAAGAAATTACTAATTTACACAGTGGCATGACTACTATAAATGGTACTCTGCACCAACTTTAACACCTGCCACTGTCTTGACTGACGAACTACCACATTAACTGAGACGCCTCCTGTCATCCCTCCTATCTCCTGCTGTAGCTCGAAAGATAGTCATGGATGGCATATATCACCTCCCTACCTCACTTAAAACATCATCCTCTCAAGCGCGAGACGTCATTCTCAAAAGCTAATACCGCTCCCTTTTGAGGACTCACTGTTATCCTTCTACCAAGACCTAACAAAAGCCACACTGCAATGGCGCAAATCCCTCCGTGAGATCACACACCGCCTGCGCACAGCCAACATACCATACAGATGGGGACTGGCGAAGGGGACGATCCATATAATCACCTCAGTAGCAGAAGCACCGATTCTCCTCTTTTCGCTGGGATTATTGGAGCTGACCCCCAAGCATGAACCCGCAAGCCTCAACTAGCAACTGGCACCCGGCCGCAGTGGTAACCTTCACTCCAAGGAACGTAGCAAGAAGCCCACCTGACTGAGAACGGCGCTGACACTTCATGTACTAGCCCCACGGAGGCTCTAACCACAGTACCACTACCCTGACAAGGGCATTAGACCTTGACCAACCATATGTGGGGAACAACTAAATACATACGTCGTCGCAATGAAACGTGCAATTGCTACTAATGTTGGAAAGGAATACACCCCCCTTCCTGCCCTCTTTGTTAGGGGTAACACTCAATGCAAGGGTAAATACGCCTCAACACCTGGAGCTACCCCGACTCATACATCCCCTCTACTTTAAACCACCTACGGCTCAACAGAACCCCACGTATAATTTTCCAAACCCTGCATAACTCCAAAATGTTAGTCGCCCACACTACATGACCTTCAAACAGCTACCATATCACCACTTACTACACTAATTCACAATGTAGAGCCTTTCACCCTGCAAAGTACTCTATATCTACTCCTAAATCAATCCTCACAAACTGGTCACATTCTAGGCTAAGGATACAGTTCTTGTGTGTATATATATATTTGTATATTTAAAGTTAATCTATCCCTTGATGTCTGTTATTTTAATTTTTTTGCATGACCTATTGCTTAAACTCATGATGTGTTTTCAGTTGTTCATGTCTTATACCTGCACTAGAAAAATAAAGAATTAAAAAAAAATTCAAAATCAGGAAGTATTACTTTATTTACAGAGTGGGTAGTGGACGTAAAAGCCTTCCAGCTGAAGTGGTAGAGGTTAACACAGTGAAGGAGTTTAAGCATGCGTGGGATAGGCTTAAGGCTATCCTAACTATAAGATAAGGCCAGGGGCTAATTAAATATTTTGAAAATTGGGCAGGCTTGATGGGCCAAATGGTTCTTATCTGCCGTCACATTCTATGTTTCTATGAAATGTCAGGTTAATTAAAATTAGTCCCAGTATTATTCTTGCACGTACATTGACCATTAACCCTGACCTGTCATTTGTCTTTTTATTGATAGTTTATATACATTTCTCATGGTATATTTCTTACACACTGGTTTCAGGCAGTGTTAGTTAAGTGCTTGCAAGATATGACTCTTGTTCTAAAGAGAAAATGTGCTCCATTAACAGTAAATCGATTTTCACTTTTCAAACTCGTCTCTCCAGTCCCAGTAGATCCAAGTCTAATTATAGTTGTCCAAGCCAAAGAGGATGCCTATGTTCCCCGGATTGGTGTACGCAGTCTCGGAGAGATCTGGCCTGACTGTGAAATCAGATACCTGGAAGGTGGTCATGTTAGTGCCTACCTCTTCAAACAAGGGCTATTCAGGTTTGTATGCAATTTAGTTATGCATCCCATGTCACTTAGTGATACGTGTTTTTTTTTTTTTTTTTTTTGGCAATCCAAATGCAGTGACGTCACTAGGGGTAAAAAAAATAAAGCACAGTTTTTTTTATTTTTTCAGTTTGTGTTTTTTGTGTGTTTTTTAATTATTAGTACACTTTATTTTTTTTGAAAATGTATTTTTGTGTAAATACTGTGCACTGAAACTTTGTTAAAAAGCAGTCCAGTAGACTATCATTTAAATTACATTAAAATGAACACTCCAGACACCTGTGCCTTTACCACTGGAAGTACCAAACTATATTGGTATGGTTCAACCACTTACCTGGGTCCTGCAAGGTGCCCACATCTGCATACCCTGCACCTGGTCTTCTCCTACAGGAAAAGTCAGATTGCCCTGTTGTGCTAAGCAGAGTCATGCAGGACTGAGCTCATGATCTAAATCCATCATCGAGTTCTTTCACCTGATGCACATGATCCTTCATTGGCTATGCTTTTTTCTATAGAGATATACAGCTTCTCCTGCTGGATAAGACTAGATACGGCACAGGTACCTAGGGGATCCATGTAAGTTTTCAAATAGTGCCAAACTGTTTTGGGGACAATGGGCTGTAATGCTTTGGAAGTGTTCCTTTAGTACTTTGTAAAACTGGACAAAAAAGATAAAAACAGAAGTCTTTTGGCTAATCTAATTAAAAATCTTGTTTTAGGCAAGCGATCTATGACGCCTTTAGTCGCTTTCTACAGAAGTATCCAATGTGATGATGTGCGTTCAAGAGAATCTCACACCGTCCTTCTACAGAAGACTTGATGCTCGTGACTTGTTCAGAAATGACATGCCAACACAAATCCATCTGTCTCTTCAACTAGGCATTTGTGGTTCTTGTGAAAGGACAGAAGGGAATATAAAGTGACTGTCTTGATGATGGCACAGTTACGGTCCCTGCATATAGTAAACTCACATGAACTTATGTGGTAACAACACATGCCAGTTTTGAATTGGTTACATTTTTTAAAACTACATTTGACAAGTTGTTTTTCAGATTTCTCTTTATATGGTGTAAAAAATGAGAACCCTCAAATTTTTGTAATCAATTTTTAGCTTTTATTTGAACAATCTAATAAGCTTAATTAACTCAATGAGTTATCCCATACGTGTACTACCTTCACTTCTGCAAATAACTGAATGTACTTTCAATTAACTCTATGTAAGAATCTATTGCACAATACCATCTGATTGTAAACTGACTGCAGCAGAGTACCCCTGATGAATGAAGTGCCTAACGTCACAGAATAAATTATGAAAATTTGCTTGATGTTAATTCTTATTCTGTCACCTACCTTGAGTTGAGTTGAACAATCAGATTTTAAAGGAACACTGTAGTGTTATGAATACAATCATATTCCTAACATGATAAAAGCCTAGTGAATATTTAGATATTGCTCCTGCATCCTGCTTTCAACTGTAAAAGAAAAAGGGTAGGCTGGGGGTTCCACATTGCTTAGAATCTCTTGGTGCTGCTGTATGTTCTTCCACCTGAAGCATCAACATGGACGTGTCTGTTCCACAATGATGGCCCAATCCAATACTTTTCAGAGAGTAGCACTGGGAACAAGATTCAGGTGCGTGGCCAATCAAATGCTTCCCACAGGATAGCATTGCATCCAGTGCTTCTTTATGAGTTGCATGTGATGACCTTTGACATCCTCATGAACCTCGAACATAACTGAGTGAAACTCGAATGTTGAAGAGCAAGTGCCTCTAGTGGCTGTCAGGAAGATAGCCACTAGAGGTGTGTTTAACACTTCAATGTAAACAATGTTTCTACAAAACTGCAATGTTTACATTCCACTGCTACTACTAGTGCATCTAATGGTCTTTCAATCAAGCTATTCCCATACAGACCGCTATTTCCATAGTTTTGCTTATGTATTAATTGACCTTTGTGTCAACTCCCAGAATTCCTAGGTAGGGACTCGGAAATGGTAGGAAGAGACACAATACTTATCAGGCCACATTGATACATTGGAGTGGAAAAGATTGTTCTTGTACATAATGTGGGTCTTTGACAAAAAAGGTACCACTCATTTCAACCCATGTTTTTATTAATTTTCCTCAATAGCTAATATGCCATTCTTTGATTTCGTATTCCCTTTAAACAAATTTAATATTTTTTTTAAATATAATTTTTAAATGCCTAATACTTGATTCCATTTTTAATTTAAAATGAAACATTTTTGTGTATTTCATAATCATTTTTTGAATTACTGCAATAAATTCCCACGTTTCTCCTGTTTCCTGGGTAGACCTTCTTTCCATCCTGCCCTCCCCAAATTTGATTTACTTAATGAAAGTGGTTGATTTAGATTAATTTATAAGTATTTATTTCAAAAAGATCTCGTGTTAATTCACCACAAGTTTACCAGTGTAATTGCAACAGAAAAGGTGAAATAAACTTGTGCAGAATCTTGCAGCTGTTTTTTTTGTTGTTTGTTTTTTTCCCTGCAGGTTATTTGTAGTTTTTAATACTTTTAGACAGTGAAATTTTGTAGGTGTATTTATGCAAATATCTATATTAAATCAATCTGTTTTCAGTAATATTAAAGCATGTCTGTTACCGTAAAAAAAAGAAAGGGGAGGAAACTGTATTTTATAAAGATAAAATTGGTCTGAAGTGCAAAGTTATAATGTTATAGGTAATGTCAAGAAAGGATACTCTGTGTTGGGTTCACTATTTTGTATACAGTAATACCTCACTTTACAGCACTTTACCAATATCGTGCTTTTCAATTTTAGTCAGATGATGGATCTCCATTATCTTAAGTTTTGTTATATGTATGGTGGTAGCATTTTTGCCTTTTACATATTTTCTTTTGGTCTAGCGCTATTGCACACCTAAGATACATATTATGTATGTTAGAGTAAACCTATTTTAAAGCTTTTATATGCACTAGCAAATGGGGGGAAGGGGGAGAGGACTGATTTGCTTTACTGCAATATTTGCTTTACAGTGGTGGTCTGGGACCTAATCTCAATGTATTAAAAAGGTATGTTTGTATTTAGAACTATTTATTTACTAAACTGTGATTGTATTCAATTAAAACCAGACTTCAGAATTTTCGCCAAAATAGGTATTGCCACTGCCTATTTAGCCCGGATTTTGCAATTTAGTATTTAATTTTGCTATTTAGTAAATACACATTCTTGACATCCTTATGTAGGTGTGTTAGTGGAGATTAAAAACACAAAAAACAGTATCATCTAATTAACAAATCCGTGCCAAAGAAAGACCGTGCACTCAGGTTTTATGGACAAAGTCTATGCCTATCAAGGTTATTTACTAAAGGGAAAATTCAAAGTGAATTTCAAATTGAAGGCAAAAATAGTTCAATTGGATAAATCTTTTAGTCGGCTAGGCTTGCAGTTTGGTCTAAAAATGTGACATTCACTTTGAATTCCAGACAATTTTCATGTTCGTGAATGACCCTGCCTAAAAAAGTGTGATGGTCACCAAAACATTCTCTGCATTGTCCCTTGGTCACTTCTCAGGAGTATTGTCCTTGTTGCACTATTACTTGATAAGATAAAATTAACAAAACACTTGGGCTGCCAAAGACCATTCACTAAGAGCTATTTTAAAAAAGTCTGTCACTGTTTTTACTAATGTGAGAATTTGAAGTGAACCTGTTGTGAAATAAATGTACTTGCCTGAAATTGCTGACACATACAATTAATAAACCAAGTCATGTGAAAATAAAGTACACCCTCTTTGAATTCTATGGTGTTGCATATCAGGACATAATACCACCATCTGTATTTAAGCAGGTCTTAAACTTGGGTAAATATGACCTCAGATGAACAACAACACATGACATATTATACTATGTCATGATTTATTTAACCCCTTAAGGACTGAGCCAAATGTACACGTTGTGATCAAAACAAAAACTTGAATTTGCGCTATATGTCTGTTCAGATGTAATTCACCTCTTTCATATTATGTGCACCCACACTTATTATACATCATTTTATTCAGGGGAAACAGGGCTTTCATTTAACATCCAATATATGGGTATGAAACTATTTAATATGAATAAAATATATTTTTAAAAAATGGGAGAAAATAAGAATTTTAAAACTTTTTAGTTCTACGTGACATTTTAACTGTGAATGTCCTAATACTGTTTGCTTTTACTGCAATAAAATACACATTTGTATTCAGCAATGTCTCACATGTAAAACAGTACTCCCTATGTACAGGTTTTATGGTGTTTTGGGAAGTTACAGGGTCAAATATAGCATGTTAAATTTTTCAGTTTTTTCACATTGAAATTCGGCAGATTGGTTACGTTGCCTTTGAGACCGTATGGTAGTCTAGGAATGAGAATTACCCCCATGATGGCATACCATTTGCAAAAGTAGACACCCCCAAATGGGGTATGTCCAGTCTTTTTTTTAGTAGCCACTTGGTCACAAACACTGGCCACAGGTAGTGTTAATATTTGTGTGCGAAAAATGCAAAAAAACTAACTAACCAATTTTGGACAGTATTTGTGACTAAGTGGCTACTAAAGAAGATAATCCCCTTAAGTGGATAATTATACCCCCACTCTGAATTAAAGAAAGGAAAAAAATGAAGGAGAAGAAAAAGAAATGAAGGAATCAGAGAACCATAGATAAATACAAGATTGTATATTATATATTATACTGCATATTAAAAGCCATGGGGCTTTAGATATAGTAACAATTTTATAACTGCTCGATGTAAATATTGAAATAACTGGAATAAAGAGAAGAGGAAAGAAAATATAACGCCAACATAAAGGAGAAGGTTAAAAGGAAAAGTGTTTTTGTTTTTTTTTTTAAATTGATTGGGCGACCATAAACTATAATGGCATCTAAAAGAAATGAGACTAAGAACCCTGCAAAAAGAGATAAAAATAATGATGCGAAAGAAGAGAAAAGACTATCATCTCTTTTCCCAAGAAGAACTGGTAGCAGATGGTCAAATAATGATGGTCGGAGGCATTACAACAGAGAACCTCAATACGTGCCTGAATAATCACTATGAGAAGATCAAGTTAAAAATAACATTATCAGATGATGTAAAAAAAAAAAAACAGAAGAAAAAATGGAATCCTTACTATTTCAAAATAAAGAAATGGAAGATGTTTCATATATTGGAAAAAGAGATGGAGAATTTAAAAATGAAACTAAGTGATTATGAAGACGAATAAGAGTACCAGACAAAAATAGGCACACGTGAAATGAAAAAAAATATTTGAAATAATTTTTTGCTTCCCTGGGCATACAACCATTTCATGGAAAGATTCCATAGGGTAAATAAGCCATCAAAAATTGATGCGTCTCTTCCAAGAGACATAATAGCGTATTTTTATTCCTTTAAATGTAAAGATGAAATAATGAAGTCAAATAACATACCGGATAAAAAAAAGGTACAAAATATGAGAAAATCCGGCTTTTTCCAGATTCATCTAACTAGACAAGATGTTAGAGAAAAACATATGTCCAATGACCTCTATATTAAGAAGTAAAAACTTTAAATATATGTGGCTATACCCAGTGGGTATCGCAATGGTAATAGATGGGAAAATAATATTCTTTACAGATATAGAAGATTTGAAGAAATGGATGATCGAAAAGAAAATACTGTATAAGAAATAGAAGATAAACATGGACTTTATATAAGTAGAGCAAAAAATGGGTCGCAAGAGTATTCTGAGGACGGACAGCAGCTAAA